GTGGATTTTCCTCAGGGCATCTTTGAATTCAGCCATGATCAGCCTCTTCCTAACCAGGTGAGAACGCACGCATGTGAGTGTGTGTGTGTGTGTGTGTGTGTGTGTGTGTGTGTGTGTGCGCATGCGCGTGTGCGTGTGCGTGTGTTTAGAAGACTCTTCAACTCTATGGAGAAGACACCCATTAAGCATCCTACAAATTATATCGGTCCTCCCTGGTGGTGCAAGGGGTTAAGCACCGCACTGTGAAGCAATTCGCAACCTCTTGCAGCATGAGGTCGATCCCTGGCCAGCTAGGGAGCAACCCCCATGGCAAAGCAGACCTCTCCTGTCTCTCCAGGTGCTCCCCTCGGTAGTGTGTTTCAGTCAATCTGCCTGTTCTGTGCCCCGCTCTGTCTCTGGTGAATCCTCTCAACCCCCGCATCTCTGGCCTGTACCCCAGCTCTTGTATGCATAGATAAATAAATCTTTAAAAAAAAAAAAAAAAGAAAGCATCCTACAAATTATATAGCTAGAAAATAACCTTGGCTTTATGGCATTTCAGAATGTCTTCGATACAGTCAATAATACTTAAACCACTAACTAAACAGCCAGCTTTCTAAAGACACACAGATTCAATCAATCTGCTGAATTTTCAAAAAGGAAGAATTGAAATATACAGGCTTATTTAAGTTTCAGACAAGCCTTTGGGAATGTACAGACAAGAGACTCATTGTCCACAGGGACCCTGTGCTTCAGGGGGTCCCTGGGCATCCTCTTTTGATACTAAGATAGAACCAGCCCCCTTTTTGGTCATATAACAGTTGCATCCCTGCCCCCACCCACCCCCTAGGTGGAGCCCACAGAATTGCACTGGATTTTGTGGAAGCCCTCAAAGATTTTCTTATTGAAGCAATAAGTGACACAGCCATTCCATCTCAGACCCTGCTGTTGCCTCCCTCAGGCCAGTGCTGAAGGGGGTTAATTATTCACCAGGCCTGCCCAGTGCTTCCCTATGAGCTGTTTCTAGAGAATGCAGACTAGAATGGCAGAAAGAGAGGCTGCAACTGGCTTGTCTTTCTTTCCTGGGAACTTCTTTTCTGAAGCAACTAAATGAGACCTTTGCAGGCAAGGGTGCTGGCCTCTCCTTCAGAATGCCTGGCCCTGTTCCCAGTGTGAAGCATTCCCCAAATATGCCACTTGGTGAGTGTCCCAGCATCCAGAGCCCAGAGCTGCCTGCTGCCAGGAGAGTTGGCATTCCCTGGGGTGCTTGGGGTGGGGGCACAGCCCTCTGGCCCCTTAGCAGGCCCTGCATTTGCCAGATGCCTGGATGGCCCGGCCCCTGGTTACGTCGTCCTGGGCAAGAATCTGTCCAGCAGTGGGGCGTGACAGGAGCTTGAAACTTTCTCTCTCTGTAAATCCCCTCCTTCATTCAAATCCAGTCCTATAAAAAGGCTTTTGTTGAAGGAGCAGCCATGGCATCTTGGGTGCATGTCTGTGTCACTGCTGTCAGTATTTCCAAAGATGGACAAAAGAACATCCTTATTTGAATTCCTGAGCAAACAGGTCTGAAAATTGACTTGGAAGAAGTACAGGTAAAGGCTGATGTCACATGGCATTTGTTTTGATTGTGAGTTATGAAGCCAAAGAGGAAAGAACTTTCTTGTGGATGGGAAGAAGCCCCGCTGTCAGGGAACACCAGGGCAGCGGTCCTTACCGTGTGTCTGAGGACAGGCCTGCTGGGTGGGCGAAATCTCGAGCTGAGCAGCACTGTTGTTGCTTACATGGGCATTTCAACGGATGTGGTTAATGGGGTTGGGCATAGTGTAGATCTCTTTGGAAACAAAGGGGCTCTGGTTCCCTTACCATCTTTTGGAGAGGAGCCACTTTTGTATACCTTCCTCCGGTCTGCTTTCATAGATTCATTCAGAATATAGTCAGGACAGCAGTCATGCCTCAGGATTATGCTGTCTGTTGAAAACAGTCATGTCAAAGGCACGAGCAAGGAAATGACCGTTTCTGTCTCCTTTGTCTTAAGCTTTTGCTTAATTTTGTCTTAATTTAGTGCCTTCTGAAACCGTTGTCTCAAGGAAATCACCTGGAAGGATCTAGAATGGGGACTTTATTCTGTGTTTTGCCAGTTGTCATTGTATCTTTTGCTTAATCAATTTGATGTTTTTTGCTTTAGCTTTAAACACACATGGTTGTCGAAAGCCAAAACAACCCAAGCAAAATGCAGTGTCCAACAGATTACAGATTTCAGCATTCGATATAAACAAACAGTCTTCCCAAGGTGTAGTCGAATTATTGTTCTTAAGAATAAGTCTTTCGCCTGTTCAAACTGTGTGACATTGTTCCATTTGGGAATTTCTTCATATTTGGGCGTTTGGAATAAAACACCCTCTCTTAATTTTACTCTCTTTTGTATGGGTACTTAGTCCTTTGCTTCTTTTCCCCCACTGAGCCAGTATCTTTCCCAGTGCTTTCTAGCTTCTTGTTTTTTGTTCGCACATCTCTGATTTTACTCCTGTTTCCCCCCTTTCAAAGCATTTCTGTGCCTTGTCTGTTTTACCAAACCCTAGTCCCAGTTACTAGCACCACGGAGCAGTGGAGGGTAGGATGCCAGAGAACATGGGTTCACATCCTGGCAAGAACATTTACTAGTCAGTTGACCCTGTGCCAGTTGGTTCTGTTCTCTAGACTTCATTGTCTTTAACAGTAAAGGAAACAATCTCAGTGACTGTGTCACTGGGCTCTTCTGAGGACTGAGCAAATCAGTACTGTGAGGAACTTGGACCACTGCCTCAGTCCATGACTGTTTAGCTTGGCTTCTTCCATGCACAACATGGGGTTTACTGCGATTAGAAAGACAAGACAGTGGAGAACAGGCTTGGTAATAGTGATGGTGGTATTTCAGCGAGTTGTTATTTCTGTGGTGTCATTGGTCCTTGCTGATATAAGGGAGAAAAGCCCTAACTAAGCAGTGTGTCCTGAACTGCTTTATTTTTTTTTTTCAAACTTCTTGAGATACATTTTGCATATCATAGAATTTAGCCATTTAAAATGTACTATCAATGATATTTCATGTATTACATTATTAATCTTTTCAGGTTCTGGTAAAATATATATTCAGTTTACAATTTGCAAATTTTTGGGCCTCCCTCTTGGCGCAAGGGCAATAGCACTATGAAGCTATTGGCAGCCACTGCAGCATGAGTTCCACCCCCAGCCAGGGAGCTACCCACATGGCACAGCAGACCTCTCCTGTCTCCCCTGGTGCTCCCCTCAGCAGTGTATTTCAGTAGATCTGCCTATTCTGCTCCCCTCTCTGTCTCTGGTGAATCCTCTTACCCACCACAACTCTGGCCTACACCCCAGCTCTTGTATGCATAAATAAATAAAATAAATCTTTTAAAAATAAAATTGGCCTTTTTAACAATTTTTAAATGTACAACTCGGTGGCACCAGTTGTATTCACAACATTGTGCAGACATCACCGCTATTTACAAAACTTCCTCATCTCTTTAAACAAGCTGTGTTTAGTAGGCAGTAACTCCACATTTCCCTCCCCCTAGCCTCTGGTAACCTTTTTCTGCACTTTGACTTTGTGGATTTGCCTGTGGTAGTTATTTCATGTAGATATGTCATGTAAGTGGAATTGTGCAGTATTTGTCCTTTCGTGTCTGACTTATCTCACTGTTTTTGGAATTCATCTATATTGTTACATGTGTGAGAACTTCATTTCTTTTTATGGCTGAGTAGTATTCCATGTATGGGTGCACCATAGTTTGTCTATCCAGTCATCCATGGATAGCCATTTGGGTTGTCCTTACCCTTTGGCTCTTGTGAAAAATTCTGTAATGAATGTTGGCTAACAAGTAATGTCCAATCCCCTGCTTTTACTCTCCCTCAGGGTAGAATTGCTGGATTGTATAGTAATTCTATTTTAGCTTTTTGAAGAACTGCCCGACTGTTGTCCTGGAAAAGTATCTTTGTGGTTTTTCTCCCCTCCTGCATTTTTCTTGTTTCAGTGTCGGTCTCCCTGAGATCTTAGTCCATTCCCTCCTGTCACCCAAGTTCCCCTATACCTCCAAGCAGTAGACATGTTTTGTGCCTCCCTGTGATGTGTCTGCGGGAACGCCCCTCCCTCTGTCTCTCATCAGCTGACAGAGCCTATATGGCCCACTCTGGCCACACATCCACCTGACCCCTTTCACCTCATCATCCAAGGCAGGACCTCCATAGTCTCAGTGTACTTTGTCACATGGCAATTCAGCCTCTGGGTAGCCCTAAAATCTCTAAGGAACTCAGGGACAGAGCCACAGCCAGCAGAATTCCAGCCTTTTTAGGTCTTCTTCTCCCTACAGCTCTTGCCTTGTTGATCTCCATCACCTTTGCTAGTCTTTAGGGCCAGTACAGCCACCCTGTCCAGCGGGAGAGTTGTTCTCCAGTTTGCACTTGTTCAGTTTCTCTACTTTTCTATGAGCAAGTGAACTAATTAATGAATACCCCAACAGACTGTGAGCCTGCCTCAGACAGCCATTCTGGTTGTTGGGCTGATTGTTAGCTGGGGTTTGTAGATGTCACTCATTTCACAATAAGGCTCCTAATTAATCTCTGCACCGTTCTCACCAGAAGAAAGGCTGATACGGAGAAACATCCCCGATTACCATGAGAAAGGAAATGTCAAGAGCCCTGTGGAGTTTTCCTGGCATCCACTCCTGGTCTCAGATGAAAACCGCCATTAATGCACAGAGGCGGCTTGGTGACCAACCCAGGAAACCAGGGGCCCATGAGCGCTCAAGGAGCCCCAACCACACGGACCCAGCTCTACGAGGAAGCTGCGGTGTCCGCGCACTGTTATGTAGTAACTCCCCTTGAGTCTCCCAGGAGAGTGTGGGGAATCCTGGTGCTGCAGCCATGTCAGAGGCAGAAGTGCCTCCACTGTCCCTAATACAGGCGAGGCTAAATTAATCCGGAAAAGCTAAAGGTCTCTTCTTTTGTCTGTGTTTTTGTGTCTGCAGGACAAAAGATCCTTCATCACCGCAGTGACGTTTTGGAAACGGTGGTCCTGATCAACCCTTCAGATGAAGCGGTCAGCACCGAGGTAAGCGTTGGATTCTGCAGTCGCAGCAGGCAGGGCCTCACCCAGTGAACAGAGATCAGCAGACAAAAGGGGCGAGGGGAGGTGGGTTGGGAGGAGGACATGGGAGAGGGAAGTTCTGGATCCAGGGATGCCGCCTTACCCCCCACCACTGGCTGGATCTTGAAATCAGTACCACCTCACTCTACCCCTGCTAGTGAGCACTGAGGGAAAGACACTAGCCAGGGCTGTCATATTTTGTCAAGCAGGGTGGGATGAAATCTTGGGAGTGTCTGGAGGCTGTGCTGCTGGGATGAGTCTGTGGGGATAGCAGGAAAGAGAGATTGCAAGTCCTCAGGCTGAGACGTATCAAACCCAAATTTGGAGAAGAATGGCATCTCAACTGAAAGCCCCCTTCAGAGTCACCCCACCCACTTCCTTATCACTGTTAAAGGGCAGAAAGTGTAGTTGTCAGGGGCCTCAGGTGTCAGACTGCCTGGGTTCTCCCATGCACTTCTGGGTGGCTTAGGGCAAGTTATTGACTCTCAGTCTCCAATTCTGTGAAATGGAGATCATAACATTTCTTACATTTAATGTTCACATTTAATATGCACCTGTCACATTTAATAAGCACCTGTCATGTGCTTAGAAGAGTGGATGTCATATAACAACTGAAATATAAATGTTGGCTATTCTTCTTATTAATATTATTGTAAGTGTCATATGAATTAATATTATTGTAAGTGTCACTCCAGAGGGAGCCTTTGGGTATAAGCTTACCTCGGAGACATTGTGGGTTCAGTTCCAGGCCACCAAATAAAGCTAATAGCCCAATAAATTGAGTCACATGAATACCATCATGTCAAGAAAAACAATCAGAGTACACATTGTAATTAAATGTGACTCGGGGTTATGAAGTGAGCACATATATTCTGGAAAATCACTCAGCGATTGTAAAAAACAGTATCTGTGAAGCGCAACAGAAGGAGGCGTGCCTGTATTTCAGAGCCCACTGTAAGATGAGAACTGGGCAAAGCCAAGAGTCCCCAGTCACCCTGGCTCGAGAAGTTGATATACCTCTGTGTTCCACTTCCTGTATTACAGTTTAGTACCTTTGAGATTGAGTTGCTTCTTGGACATTGAAGTAACCACAATCCCTGGATCTTCAATGTCTGCAGTGTCTCATCTGCCCGTGCAACTATTGTCCTATTTAAAAATACTGAAATAGAATTCACATACCATAAAATCCATCCTTTTATGGTATGCAATTAGTTTTTAGTACATTCACAAAATTTTGCAGCTGTCACCATTAATTCCAGAACATGTTCTTTACCCCGCCACAAACGTCAGCTTACCAGCAGTCCTTCCTCACTCTCCTCCACCTCTGGCATCTACTAATGTATTTTTTGCCTTTAGGGATTTCAGATAACAGTCATGCTATATGTGATGTTTCGTGTCTGACTTATTTCACTTAGTATAATCTTATCAAGATTTATCCATATTATGGTAGATAGCAATACTTCATTCCCTTTTATAACCAAATGCCACATTTGGCTTATCCATTCACCAGTTGATGAACATTTGGGTTGCTTCCACTTTTTGGCTATTGCTGTGTAGCCTGTCTTGCTCTTACTTCCACCTACTTCATATCAGCATGACCTCTCTGATAGTGCATTAAGGGAAAAGGTGGAGGCACATGATGGGTTAGCAATCTCTCTGACTAGCAGAATCAGGATGTAAATACAACCTGAAAAAACTTGGTGGATTAATATACATCCAGACAGTCTACTTAGAACAGCTGTGAAATATGGAAAAGAAAAAGCTAAGAATGTCTTTAAAGAATCCAGACTTGCCGATGGAGCAGATGGAACTGGAATAGTTATTGCAGTACATGTGTTGTTCCTTGATTTGATTGAGGGGCTCCTGGGGGCAATGAGTCAGGGTCTGTTCACTTTTCTATCTCCCTCCATGCCCAGTGTGATGCCAGGCACTCCATTTGTGCAGAACTGAATTGGGTTCAGAACCGAAACCTTGCTGCTTAGAGCTGTGCTTCTGCTGAATGACAGGCTGGCATCCTGCCACTGAAAGTTCACAGAGAGTTCTTCAGAGCATACCGTTTAGAATTCTATTTGAAAAATCCCCATTCAGGACTGCCTTTTGTTTATATGCAACATCAGGCACCTTTCTGATCCCACTGGAGTTTGCATTTGATGCTGTATGTCTGGTGTATGCCATGAGAGGAAAGGGGTTCTGGACGGCAGGCACTGGTTTGGGACCCTACTTGGAAACCTGTGTTTCCTGAGCCCGCAGTCGGGGACCAGAACTGTACTGGGTGACTCAGCCTGTGAGATATTTGTAAGTCTCCCAGGCCATATGCCGCTCGCAGACACAGCTGTGGAACAAATGATCGCCAGCTGCGGAGTCTGCTTTGAAAAAGACAAGGAAACTACGGGGAGAAAGTCAGCCATCACTGCGGTCTCTGTTGTAGCCAAACTTGGCATGACAGTGTCATTCATGGGTGAGCTGATGACCAGTCATTGGCTCTGTCCATCTATCTCCCCAAGGGAAATTTGAATACCAGGGAATGAATGGTTTTGTTGGTGATGAACTTCAGGCACCGCTGAGGGAGAGATGGCGGCCCTGCCACTCACGTCCTGTTCCTGTGCTTTGTTCTAGGTGCGCTTAATGATCACGGATGCTGCCCGACACAAGCTGCTCGTGCTGACGGGACAGTGCTTTGAAAATACTGGAGAGCTTATTCTCCAGTCCGGCTCTTTCTCCTTCCAGAACTTCATAGAGATTTTCACCGATCAGGAGGTGAGCTCCTATCTGGGAAGAGCGAGTTTGCGCAGTTATTGTTGTAGCTTTAAATCGCCCTTTGGAACGCTGGTGGGAGACAGGAGGAGGAAAGTCACACCTCCTTTGAAATAAGTAAAACGGTGTGATCCAACTATACTATGATTCTGTGGTTCGTAACCAAAAGAATTTAGGGCAATCATTTATAATTAATTGGAACCATTTTTAATGTGCCTGAGAAACAGATGGGGGAAGAGGTTGGAAGAGTCAGCATTTTATAAATGGTAAAAATGATGGAAAACACGAAATGCCAGAACCCCAAAGAAAACCCAGGTTTCCTGTTTTAAAAAGAAAAAAATTTGGATTCTTGGTGGGGTTTAACAGCTTTGGTTTCTTTAAGAACTTCTACTTACTTTTCCTGGTCTGGTTATTTCTCATTTCTTTTAATTTTTTTTTTTAAGATTTTATTTATTTATTTATTTATTCATTCATTCATTCATTCATCCATTTATTTATTTATTTATTTATACAAGCACTGGGTACAGTCAGAAGTGCGGGAGGGTGAGAGAATCCACCAGAACCAGAGGGGAGAGCAAAGCAGGCAGACTGACGAAATACACTGCTGAGGGGAGCATCGGGCGCCATGTGGGACCCTTGCCCGGTGGCTGGGGATCGAACCGGTGCTGCGGAGGGTGCGGGCAGCTTCGCAACCCAGCGCTCAACCGCTGCACCACCAGGGAGGCCCTCTTTTAATTTTAAAACCTGATCCCGATGTTTGAACTTGGGTTGTTTGTGTAGTTCAAGAAAGAGAGAGTGGGAGCAAGGGAAACATGTGAGAAAATGTGACATGTGCCTGACCCAAGAAAAAGATAATCACAGTAACTGCTCTGAAGCTGGGCCATTATCTTATTCAGAAATGTTACATGTGTTGTGTTGCAAACTACATGACACTGGTGATATTTAGTAAAAATAGTTCAGAGATTTTAATTTGGTTATTTTGACTTGGGAATTTATTCTGACTGGGAAAATTCTCTTTCCAAAATAGCACGCCTCTTTCATTTTGTTTGTTTATAGTAGTTACTGAAATGATCCAGGACCATCCCCATGGGAGGTTGCGGGCTGCCCATAGCTGATAGCACTTTTTTAAAAATCGTATTAATGGTGTACCATTATTTTACATCCTTGTCTGCCTTTTCACAGTATAGAGTTTCTCCCTCCAGGTGTAGTCACCATAGTTTTCTCACCTCCAGAATCCCCACAGTCCTCCACTATTATCCATGCCCCCATTTTCTTCCTCTCCTTCTGGATACCTCAGATCTATGATCAGCTTTCACGGGTCACTTTTAAAGTTTGTCTTTGTCTGATCCTTTGTTTGCTTTCTCTGTATTCCAGATAAAAGTGAAGCCATGATATTTATCTTTCTCCTTCTGGCTCATTTCACTTAGGATAATCCCTTCCAGTTCCATCCAGGTTGCCACAAATGTGATAGCAGATTTCTAACTGCAAAGGCTGAGGCTGTGCTAATGGTAAAGAGTTAGTGCATCTACTTAAAACCATTTTCCTGAGAACTTCCTGAGACAGTGGCCTCTTGGTCTCCTGGGTGTTTGGAAGGACTGTCTGTCTTTCTGCATTTAATCTTCCAGAGCCCTGCCCCTCACAGAGAGGTCTCTGTGAACTTTCCATCTTTGGCAAGAGCTGTAAATAAACTGTCCAGCTTCACTTGGCTCACCTGGAGGCTTCTGTAAAAAGACTGGTCAGATGGAATAACCATGTTTTATTCTCTACCCACCAGAGGGAATAAACAATTGTTAAAAGGAACATTTTCCTTAGTGTATGAAATTTCAGCTTTCAGAATGTGGGTTTCTTGTGGGTCTGAGGCAGACAATCCTGTCCCCAGGGCTCGTCACGGTGGTACCATCTTTACCCCTTCAAAATGAGGGCTTTGACCTAGTCTTTCTCCAGAACATGTGGCCTGTTTTACTCCAAGTCTTCTACAGTTTAGGCTGCATGTCTTGTTTATCTCAAACCTACCACATCCCCACACAGTCAAGGCCCATTATACCCTTGTTCAGTTGCACTGGAATTCCCAGACTGGAGCTTTAGTTCTCATTCTACCTGCAGCCCTGAAATTGGAGTGTGGTCTCTGGAATGTCAGTCTTTTGCAAGATGGTGTCCCTGTGTCTGTGATGTGCTCAAGGGCATTTGGACATGTGTGTGGTAACTCAAACTCTCTTACACAGTCAGCACCTTGCTCTGGGGAGGGGAGCTACAGAGAGCAGCCCGTGACCCGCCGTCACGATGGGCGGGTAGCTGGCTGCTCTAGGCTCGTGTATGTGTACACAGTGCGTCTGCTGCCCTTCTGCAGTTCTGCAGTCGTTTCTAGTGACTGGTTTCTACCCACATCATGCACCAAATTTTTTGCATCAAAATCAACAAAGGATCTATATAAAGAAAAGTACTTGTCGTTGCCAGTATCTTAAAGAGGTATCATAATTCTTCTATTTGGACCCCTGATAATAGCTCTCTCTCTCTCTCTAAATCAGGCATACTGTTAGGAACGTTGCTGCTTAAATGATTTTTACTAGCCTGCAGAAGTAGAATTTTGGCAGAATGGACTGTGCACATAACAAGTAACTACAAATTATGAAAGAAAAGAAACAAAGAATGTTTCACGGTAGGGTGGGTTCCACAGGGCTTGTAGATACTGGGTTGACTGGTCACTGGGGTGTTCAGAAGAACTCATATATTCATCATATTCAGGTGGGTGTCAAGGCCAGACACTGTCCTGTTCTCCTCTGCCTGCCCCATGCCTCCACCCCAATACTTTAGAAAAAGTATTCCGACAAATGAACAAGGATCTCTAGAGCTTTCCCTAACAGACTAGATCAGTGGTGACAAGGGGGTGGGGAAGGCAAAAGAAGGGAGAGGACACTGGGTAGAACCTGCTCTTCCTTTTGCTCCAGCCAGAGAACTCAGTCTTTATCTTCTTGTACTGTGGACGTTGAAGAAAGGATGGCACTGTTAAAGTGGATTAAAAATTGCTGGACTAGGCCAGTGGTTACAGCCTTTTAGAACTATGCTTACCGATTACTGCCTTGGAAAAGGGCTTGACCACAGAATGACTCCATAACAAAGGGAACCTAAGACTATTTGGTAGCCAGTCTTACTCCTTTTATCCAGTCCTTGAAACATCCTAGTCACTCTGGAGAAACCTTTGTAAGAACACCAGAGGTTGTAGATAGAACGGGGGCCTCACTAACCTGCTCCTTCCTGAAATTTGAGGATGGTGAAATCATCTTCTCCTGGGACATTTTTCAGTCTCTGTTAGAAAGTTTTTCTTTATTTGTCTCATTGTATTTTCAAGGAAAGAATGTGATGCCTTCACCAATGCTAATGGGTTATTTTCCTTCAGATCAGTCATTTTCAGTCATCTACTGTTCTTCAGAAAACAAGACCTGGTCACTGTCCCTTAAACCTATTTCATTGACAGGAAGGGGGATAGGAGAGGGATGGGGAGAAATTCAGTTGAGTCTTGGTTACCAGACATTTGAATATGAGTCCAGAGCTCAGGGAACTAAGAGTTGGGTCAGAAATATTAACTTGGAAATCATCAGCATATTAGAAAAGAGATGAAGTGATAGAGAGAGAAATGCATTAGAAGAGAAAGGGCCCTGGTTCTAGCACTTAGAGGTCAAGGCCAGGTGAAGGAGCCAACAAGGAGGCCAGCTTCACTCTGTTGGTTTGCTTTCTTTTTCTTTTTAATGAGATAACTTTAGTTTACCGCACTGCATAGGTTTCAGGTGCGGTGTGTCACCTCGGCAACTGTGTATCATTGTTTTTGCTCCTCTTTCTCTAAAATGTCACGACTCACTGGACATATTCCATGGGACACTGGCCAGGTTAGGATGGTGAGTGTTGATGACTTCTATAGCTTTCAATGCAACCTGCTTTTAAATAAGTGTAAGAGTCACTTTCGACCATTACCATTCATAATCAGATATTGTGGGGAGGGGAAGCAGGCGTTGAGGGACTCTGTAATTTACATAACTTGGAAGCTCCCTTCAAGAAATGAAAACAAAATTATTAGTACACAGCTAACTCTAGAGCTCAGGGAGGGGCCCATGGCCCTTGAAGTTTAATCTTTTTTAGCTTTACAACACACACATGTGATTATAGACTAAGTTATAGACTGAATTCCCTGAGTCTTTTTCATGGATATGGGTGCTAAGCCACACCTTCCAGTCCTGTATTTCATCCAGTTGGTTTATTGGATATTAAATTATCTCTTTAGAACGTCATCCTGTTAGGGCCTCCCCTGGTGGCGCAGGTGGTTGAGCACCATGCTGTGAAGCTGTCTGCAGCCTCTGTAGCGCCAGTTAGATCCTTGCCGGCCGGCGAGGGTCCCACATGGCAGCGGCAGACCTCTCCTGGCTCACCCGCTGCTCCCCTCAGCAGTGTATTTCGTCAGTCTGCCTGTTCTGTTCCCCGCTCTGTCTCTCACCCTCCCGTGCATCTGGCCTGTAGCCTGATTCTTGTATAAATAAATAAATAAATCTTTAAAAACAAAACAGAAAAAAAAGAATGTCATCCTGTTAGCGTTGACTTAGCTATCATCCTCCCAGCTCTTATTAACGTCTTAATTCTCCTTTCCCACATTTTGGTGTGGCTCCCTTTTTCATACTACCCACAGATTTTTGCTAGATATGTCTTCAAAATTTTCATGCAGGTCATTAATGGGAAGGATGTAAGTGAGCCCAAAGGCAGACCATCATAGACCTCCCTTCAGGTCGACACTAACCACTTATATGACCTGCTACAAATCCCCCTAATTTGGCTATCACACTGTTCAGAGAACCTGTTAAAGTTCTTGCTAAAACCAGAGATACACTGTCCACTGTAATTCCTCATTAGCTAAGCAAGTAATCTAATCAAAAGAGGAAATGTAGTTAGTAGGTCGTAATTTAGATATTCAAATCTTATTTCATTAATATCACCCATAGTAAAATCATTTATTTCCCATATCTTCCTTCCTCTTCCAGTATGTCTGCATTAATTAGACAAAGTAATTAACAAAAAATACTTATTCCAGCTGTGCCACTCATTCATCTCTATAAGAACAAGGGGAGGGGTGCAGCAGTCTACTTGAGAAGTGTAGTGAACTCACATCACTTCCCAAGTGCCCACTCCGGGAAGACAGCACATACTGCATTGAGTGCCAAGTTTAGTGCAGTTCAGCAAACATCTGTTGAGCCTGATATGTGTTAGGGAAACAGAGATAACTACAGTGCAGAGACATTGCAGATGATTTTCCTACCACTCAGGAATTTTTAGCATAATGGGCGATCATCACTGTCATTTACTATGATGATGTTTTTCAAGTTCTTTTACAGGCAGCCTAGGTTTCCACATCTAAGACCTAATTACAGTTTTCCTTACCACTGTTTGCATTGTTGGATCTTCCTTATTGTTCTTGTCCATTTATTGGATAAGCTTTGATTATGTGCTTCCATGGCTAGGCCTTGTGACACTGCCTCTGCCCCTGAGGCCCTCATCCAGGGAGCATGCTTGTGTATGAGTCTGGAAGCAAGCTCTGGGGACAAGGGGGGGGGGGCTCTGTTTCTGCTGTGTGGCTCCAGGGCTGTAGTAGTTGTCCCTCCTTCCCCTGCACCCATTCCCCCTGCCCCCCCACCGGCCAGCAGCTCTCCCAGCCCTAGTCTGTGCATTCTTGTCTTCTCTTCCACAGTGCACGCTAGTGGCTGCATCTTCTCTGCAAAGAAACTTGCCAAGCAGTGCTTTCTTCTCCACTTTTTCTGGCTTGTCATGGTTTTCTATTTACTAGCATCTCTTTGTTGTTTTTTATTACCCCTCATTTCCTTAGAATTCTGTGCAACCTTGTTTTCTTTGGGGGTCATTTCCTTCATTTCACAGTCTTGAAAGTACGTTTCAAGAATGCACTTTCTGGTGAAAAAAATGGAAGGCGGGGAGGCATTCCTCAAGTCTTTGTACCTTCTCCTTGAATGTGGTGCGTACATATGTCATATAAAAAGAGCTAGCATTTGATCCCCCCGGCCCCTTCCAGACACATAGCTGGTTTACGCTGAGGTGCCATATACCTCAGTTAGGACAGAATTTCAAAAATTAAAATGGGCTACACGTAACTTTAAATTCACTATTAATGATTCAGCAGTTTGAGTCAGCTTAGATTTCTCCTCTAACAAGAGTAATTTGCATGTGCTTTGTGTGAAAACTAGATGGAGAAAATGCTAATTGTGCTGTAATGGTGCTGAGGAGGGCCTGTGCCAATCATGGGCCAAGAAATTCTGATTTGCCCCCATTTGCTTAGCTCAGCCAGTAATTTGAGCAGAGATTCTCCCAAGGATGTTACCATTTGCTTATCCAGAATTCTTAGCTTCCAAAATAATTGATTCTTATTCCTTTTGTAGGATATTGTCAAGTTAAGTCAGAGGAAAACAGCAGTCAAAGACTTGTCATGTTGCTATTTTGTGACCCTCATGTAAACTGTAGGACAAGTAGCTAAGAAAGTACAAAAATACAGTAAAATGCAAAATTCAGATTCTAAAAGTAACTGTTCTGCACATAAATGCACTAGTAGCCTCAGGAGGTTGTGAGTGTCAGAGAAAACTATTCCTAATTCTAGAAGGTAAGAGTTCAGACCTGATGGCTTAGGGATGCTGAATCTGATGAAATCTTTGGTCTGCCCTTTCTTCATTTGCCACAAAGGACACAGAGCTCTTCTCACTTGAAACTCAGAGCTTTGCTACAACCAAAAGAAGATTGGTATTTATGGTGTGATTCTCCCTCACTGTTTACTAAGTTGAGACCATGAAACATATAGCTGTAATATGGAATGAGAAATAAAATACTGTTTTCATGGCATGAGTGGCGATTGTGTGAATTTTTTTTTTTTTTTTTTTTGCAGCAATGTACAACCCTAGCTTCCTGTCTCCCAGAAAACTGGGAAACCAGGAAACAGTAAACTTTTTTCTCTTGTACCTGCCACATTCTAAAAGTAGACAACAATATATATACTATATCTAAATCCTTTATTGCATCAAGTAGGTATTTTTTGCCAATCTTAGTGGAATTAAAGAAAACATTAATAATGTTCTATAGTAGTGGTGAAATGACTCATAGGCTCCTTTGTGATAGTGTAATATTTTCTAAAGGGTATTTTTGCCTGGCAAATACCCAGGGGTGATTTTCAAACTGCTGTGTGTGGCTCAGTCATGGACCATCCCAAGCTGGTCAGAGTCCCCTGCTGGGTAAGAATAGATGGCGAAGAGGTCTCAGGGGCAGTCCTGGGTGGGAGAGGGTGGTGGAGACAGTAGAGCTCAGGACAGAGGCTGTTGATACCTATGGAGATATTTTAATACTGAAACAACCAGCGTCTTTGAAGTCAGCCTTAGATCATGCATTCAATGATCCTGTAAAATATATAGGAAGAGATGATCAGTGATGACAGTGACTTACCCCTTTTCCTTCTTTTCTTATTTTTTAAAAAATGCCAGATTGGGGAATTACTGAGCACCACCCATCCTGCCAACAAAGCCAGCTTAACCCTGTTCTGTCCCGAAGAAGGGGACTGGAAGAACTCCAATCTTGACAGACACAATCTCCAAGACTTCATCAATATTAAACTCAACTCAGCTTCAATATTGCCAGAAATGGAAGGACTTTCCGAGTTTACCGAGTACCTCTCAGAATCAGTGGAAGTCCCATCTCCCTTTGATATCCTGGAACCTCCCACATCGGGTGGCTTTTTAAAGCTCTCCAAGCCTTGCTGTTACATTTTTCCAGGAGGTAGGGGTGATTCTGCATTGTTTGCAGTGAACGGATTCAATATGCTAATCAACGGAGGGTCAGAAAGAAAATCTTGCTTCTGGAAACTCATCCGACACTTGGACCGAGTAGACTCCATCCTCCTCACTCACATTGGGGATGACAATTTGCCTGGAATAAATAGCATGCTACAGCGGAAAATTGCAGAGCTCGAGGAAGAACAGTCGCAGGGCTCGACCACAAATAGTGACTGGATGAAAAACCTCATTTCCCCTGACTTAGGTGTTGTGTTTCTCAACGTACCTGAAAATCTGAAAAACCCAGAGCCAAACATTAAGATGAAAAGAAGCATAGAAGAAGCTTGCTTCACTCTGCAGTACCTAAATAAGTTGTCCATGAAGCCAGAACCTCTATTCAGAAGTGTCAGCAATGCCATCGATCCTGTCATTCTTTTCCAAAAAATGGGAGTTGGTAAACTTGAGATGTATGTGCTTAACCCAGTCAAGAGCAGCAAGGAAATGCAGTACTTTATGCAACAGTGGACTGGCACCAACAAAGACAAGGCTGAGCTAATCCTGCCTAATGGTCAAGAAATAGATCTCCCCGTTTCCTATTTAACTTCGGTGTCATCTTTGATCGTGTGGCACCCAGCCAACCCTGCAGAGAAAATCATTCGAGTTCTGTTTCCTGGAAATAGCACCCAATACAATATCCTGGAAGGACTGGAAAAACTCAAACACTTAGACTTCCTGAAACAGCCGCTAGCTACCCAGAAGGATCTTACTGGCCAGGTGGCCACTCCTGCTGTGAAACAAGTAAAACTGAAACAGAGGGCTGACAGCCGAGAGAGTTTGAAGCCGGCCACAAAACCACTCCCCAGCAAATCTGTGCGAAAGGAGTCTAAAGAAGAAACCCCTGAAGTCACAAAGGCTAATCACGTGGAAAAGCCACCCAAAGTTGAAAGCAAGGAAAAGGTAACAGTGAAAAAAGACAAGCCAGTGAAAACAGAAACCAAGCCTGCAGTGACAGAAAAGGAGGTGTCCAGCAAAGACGAGCAGCCTCCAGTGAAAGCCGAGGTGGCAGAAAAGCAAGGCACAGATGTCAAACCCAAAGTGGCCAAGGAGAAGATAGTGAAAAAGGAAACAAAGGTAAAATCTGAAGAAAAGAAAGAGGAGAAGGAAAAGCCAAAGAAAGAAGTGGCTAAAAAGGAGGACAAGACACCTGTCAAGAAGGAGGACAAACCCAAAAAGGAAGAGGTAAAGAGGGAAGTCAAAAAAGAAATCAAGAAAGAAGAGAAAAAAGAACCCAAGAAAGAGGTTAAGAAAGAAACACCATTGAAGGAAGTCAAGAAGGACGTCAAGAAGGACGAAAAGAAAGACATTAAAAAGGAGGAAAAGGAACCAAAAAAAGAAATTAAGAAACTTCCCAAAGATACAAAGAAATCATCTACTCCTCTCTCTGAAGCAAAGAAACCAACTGCATTAAAACCAAAAGTCTCCAAGAAGGAAGAGCCTGTCAAGAAAGATTCTGCTGCTGCTGGGAAGCTAAAGGAGAAGGGCAAAGTGAAGGTCATCAAGAAGGAAGGCAAGACCACAGAGGCTGCAGCTGCAGCTGTCAGTGCTGCGGCTGCAGTGGCCGTGGTGGCAGCAGCTGCAGTAGCCACGGGCCCTGCCAAAGAGCTTGAGGCTGAGCGGTCCCTTATGTCATCCCCTGAGGACCTAACCAAGGACTTTGAGGAGTTAAAGGCTGAAGAGGTGGATGTAGCGAAAGACATCAAGCCTCAGCTGGAACTGATTGAAGACGAAGAGAAACTGAAGGAGACCGCGCCAGTCGATGCCTATGTCATCCAGAGAGAGACTGAGGTCATCAAGGGTCCTGCTGAGTCGCCCGATGAGGGCATCACCACCACCGAAGGGGAGGGTGAATGTGAACAAACCCCTGAGGAGCTGGAGCCAGTAGAGAAGCAGGGGGTGGATGACATTGAAAAATTTGAAGACGAAGGAGCAGGTTTTGAAGAATCCTCAGAGACTGGAGACTATGAAGAGAAGGCAGAAACTGAGGAAGCGGAGGAGCCGGAAGAGGATGGTGAAGAAAATGTATGCTTGAGCACTTCCAAGCACAGCCCAGTGGAGGAGGAGGAAAGTGCAAAGGCGGAGGCAGATGTCCACATCAAGGAGAAGAGGGCATCTGTGGTCAGCGGTGATGACCGAGCAGAAGAAGACATGGATGAGGCAGTGGAGAAAGGAGAAGCTGAACAATCTGAGGAGGAGGGTGATGAGGAGGAAAAGGCAGAAGATGTCAGAGAGGAAGCATATGAGCCCGAAAAAGCTGAAGCTGAAGATTATGTGATGGCCGTGGTTGACAAGGCTGCGGAGGCTAGTGGTGCTGAGGATCAGTACGGATTCCTTAGCACATCAGCCAAACCAGCGGAAGCCCAGTCTCCTGCCCGAGAACCTGCATCTTCAATTCATGATGAGACTTTACCTGGAGGATCAGAGAGTGAAGCCACTGCTTCTGATGAGGAGAATCGAGAAGACCAGCCTGAAGAATTTACTGCCACCTCCGGCTATACCCAGTCCACCATTGAGATATCCAGTGAGCCCACCCCAATGGATGAGATGTCTACTCCTCGTGATGTGATGAGTGATGAGACTAACAATGAAGAGACAGAGTCTCCATCTCAAGAATTTGTAAATATCACCAAATATGAGTCATCACTGTATTCTCAGGAATACTCCAAACCTGCTATTACATCACTGAGTGGATTGTCAGAAGGGTCAAAAACAGATGCCACCGATGGGAAGGATTACACTGCTTCAGCTTCCACCATCTCACCACCATCATCCATGGAAGAGGACAAATTCAACAAGTCTGTGCTCCGTGATGCCTACTGCTCTGAAGAGAAAGATATGAAGCCCAGCACCATGTTGGACATCAAAGACACCATCTCAACAGTTTCAGATGGGAAAGTTAGCCCATCCAAGAGCCCATCCTTGAGTCCATCTCCACCATCACCCATAGAAAAGACCCCCTTGGGTGAACGTAGTGTGAACTTTTCTCTGACACCCAATGAGATTAAAGCTTCAGCGGAGGCAGAAGCAGTCCCAGCATCTGCTGAGGTGACCCGAGAAGTTGTTGAAGAACATTGTGCTAGTCCTGAAGATAAGACTCTGGAAGTGGTGTCTCCTCAATCTGTGACTGGCAGTGCTGGCCACACACCTTACTACCAGTCTCCCACAGATGAGAAATCCAGTCACCTCCCCACAGAAGTCATTGAAAAAACACCAGCAGCTCCAGATAGTTTTGAATTCAATGATGCCAAAGATGAGCATGAAAGGGCTTCCATAAGCCCCATGGATGAACCTGTGCCTGACTCGGAGTCTCCTATTGAAAAAGTTTTGTCTCCTTTACGGAGCCCACCCCTAATTGGATCTGAGTCTGCTTATGAAAGTTTTCTAAGTGCTGATGACAAGGCTCCTGGGAGATGTACAGAAAGCCCCTTTGAAGGAAAGAATGGAAAACAAGACTTTTCAGACCATCTCAGTCCAGTTTCTGCCATGACTTCCACCGGTCTTTTCCAAGTTCAACAGGAAGGGAAAAGCACAGACTTCATACCAATAAAGGAAGGCTTCAGTCAAGAAAAGAAAACTGATGATGTTGAAGCCATGAGTTCTCAATCAGGACTGGCTTTAGATGAAAGGAAGTTAGGAGGAGATGTTTCTCCTACACAAATAGATGTCAGCCACTTTGGCTCTTTCAAGGAGGACACCAAGATGTCCATTTCTGAAGGTACCGTCTCAGACAAGTCAGCCACTCCTGTTGATGAGGGTGTAGCAGAAGACACATACTCTCACATGGAAGGGGTGGCCTCAGTCTCCACAGCTTCCGTGGCTACCAGCTCATTTCCAGAGCCAACAACAGATGATGTGTCTCCTTCTCTGCATGCTGAAGTTGGCTCTCCTCATTCCACAGAAGTAGATGATTCCCTTTCAGTGTCTGTCGTGCAAACACCTACCACTTTCCAGGAAACAGAAATGTCTCCATCTAAAGAAGAATGTCCAAGACCCATGTCAATTTCCCCACCAGACTTCTCCCCTAAAACAGCCAAATCCAGGACACCCATTCAAGATCACAGATCTGAACAGTCCTCCATGTCTATTGAATTTGGTCAGGAATCTCCAGAGCACTCCCTTGCTATGGACTTTAGTCGACAGTCTCCAGATCACCCTACGGTGGGTGCAAGTGTGCTTCACATCACTGAAAATGGGCCAACTGAGGTGGACTACAGTCCTTCTGATATGCAGGACTCCAGTTTATCACATAAGATACCACCAATGGAGGAGCCGTCCTACACCCAAGATAATGATCTTTCTGAGCTCATCTCAGTATCTCAGGTTGAGGCCTCACCATCCACCTCTTCTGCACATACCCCTTCTCAGATAGCTTCTCCTCTCCAAGAAGATGCTCTATCTGATGTTCCTCCCAGAGATATGTCCTTATATGCCTCACTCACCTCTGAAAAAGTACAAGATTTGGAAGGAGAGAAGCTCTCACCCAAATCTGATATCTCTCCACTCACCCCAAGAGAGTCCTCTCCTTTATATTCACCTGGTTTTTCAGATTCTACCTCTGCAGTCAAAGAGAATGTAGCAACTAGCCATACTTCCTCTCTTCCACCAATGGATGCAGCATCCACAGAGCCCTATGGCTTCCGTGCCTCAATGTTATTTGATACGATGCAACACCATCTAGCCTTGAATAGAGATTTGACCACATCTAGTGTGGAGGACAATGGAGGGAAGACACCTGGTGACTTCAGCTATGCCTATCAAAAGCCTGAAAAAACAACCAGGTCCCCAGATGAAGAGAGTTACGACTATGAGTCTTATGCAAAAACTACCCGTACCCCAGATGTGAGTGGCTATTACTATGAGAAGACAGAGAGAACCGCAAAATCCCCATGTGACAGTGGCTACTCCTATGAGATGGTTGAGAAAACCACCAAGACTCCTGAAGATGGTGGCTATGCCTATGAAATTACGGAGAAGACTACACGGACCCCTGAAGAGGGTGGGTACTCATATGAGATAAGCGAGAAGACAATAAGGACCCCCGAAGTGAGTGGTTACAGCGGTTACTATGAAAAGACGGAGAAGTCTAGAAAGCTCCTGGATGACATCAGGAATGGCTACGATGACTCTGAAGATGGTGGTCACACACTTGGGGATTGCAGTTATTCTTATGAGACCACTGAGAAAATTGCAAGTTTCCCTGAGTCTGAAAGTTACTCTTATGAGAAATCAACAAAAACGACACGTACCCCTGATGCTTCCACATACTGTTATGAGACTGCAGAGAAGATCACTAGAACCCCCCAGGCATCTACGTATTCCTATGAGACGTCAGACCAGTGCTACCCTGCAGAAAAGAAGTCCCCCTCAGAGGCTCGCCAGGATGTTGACTTATGCCTTGTGTCCTCCTGTGAGTACAAGCATCCAAAGACCGAGCTCTCACCTTCTTTCATTAATCCCAATCCTCTTGAGTGGTTTGCCAGTGAAGAGCCAACTGAAGAATCCGAGAAGCCCCTCACCCAGTCAGGGGGAGCCCCTCCTCCTCCAGGGGGGAAGCCACAGGGGCGACAGTGTGATGAAACCCCTCCCACCTCAGTCAGTGAGTCGGCCCCATCCCAGACTGACTCCGATGTTCCCCCGGAGACGGAGGAGTGCCCCTCCATCACAGCCGATGCAAACATTGACTCCGAAGATGAATCAGAAACCATCCCCACAGACAAAACCGTCACATACAAACACATGGACCCTCCCCCGGCCCCCATGCAAGACCGCAGCCCTTCTCCACGCCACCCTGATGTGTCCATGATGGACCCAGAGGCCTTGGCCATCGAGCAGAACCTGGGAAAAGCTCTGAAAAAAGACCTGAAGGAGAAGACCAAGACCAAAAAGCCAGGTACGAAGACCAAGTCATCTTCACCTGTCAAAAAGGGCGATGGGAAGTCGAAGCCCTCCGCGGTTTCCCCAAAGCCTGGGGGCTTGAAAGAGTCCTTAGATAAGGTGTCTCGGGTGGCTTCTCCTAAGAAGAAAGAATCTGTGGAAAAGGCAACAAAAACCACGGCCACGCCTGAGGTCAAAGCTGCCCGTGGGGAAGAGAAAGATAAGGAGACAAAGAATGCTGCCAACGCCTCCACATCCAGATCAGTCAAGACGGCCACTGCAGGTAGGGTGGGGGGTGGGGTCAGCGTCCTGATTCAGCCCACAGCTGTTCTGCTCTCAGCCAGAGCCTTTACCCTTCCATTTGACTTTGTGCTGGGAAGTTGAGGGAGCACAACTTGGTGCTCTCCCTTCCTTTGCTCTTCTTTTCTCCCCGAAGGCATAGATTTCTGTGCAGCGTGGCCCTTAGGCTTGGAGACAGCTTAGCGAATGGGACAGAGCAGCTCTGGTTCATCAGATGCAGTTCCTGGGGCTGCTTTCTGTGACACAACAACTGCATTCTTGTTCTAAAGCTTTAGAACCAATGATGTAGGTTTCGATCTTCTCTGGAAAACTGTGCTGGCACATTAATAAATTTTGTTTGCTCTAGGTAGTTATTCAGAGAATTCAGGTCACATTTCACAAAGAAATAAAAACTGACTCAAACACGTAAAGTAAAAAAAAAAAAAAAAAATTAAATGACATTTCCTTATTTTATTAGGGAAAATCTGATGGATGAACCTTTGGGACTCTGAATTCAGTACATTTTAAGAAGTATTAGTGATAACTGCATTAAGCATCAAGCAGTTATCACTTAATTTACATTAAGTAGCATGGAGCATCCTTTTCAACACTCAGGTCCCATCAGATTTCCTCTTTGAACATGTATGTATAAAGCAAATTGAATTTGTTTATATTTAGAATTGATGGAAAACCACCAGAAATTAGCCTTTTGATCTGAGAGGTGGTCTTGGATTTAAGAGAAACATGAAATCCATTCAAACAGATAAAAGCCAGCTGAAATTTGCCACCTAAACGATCCTACCCAATAGACTTTTTAAAATTTGTTTTGTCATTTGAAGAGATTATTTAAAGACAAAGATAATAAATATCCGATGAGCTAATTTAAATTTTTTGAAGATGTTGTTCCAATAGATTTTTAAAAAAGACAAAATTGTGCTGTTGTTAAAATCAAACCTGAATGGGCATTTGACTGTCCCTTCGTGCCGCTTCTGAGCAGTCATGCGGTTTTTAGTGTGGCAGGGAAAATTGCAGGCATTTTTAGTTATTAGAACAACCATAATTAGCAAACTTCTGCTACCAGCAGAAACCTACACGTGGGTATTTTGAGGATTTATAGCTCAGATTTGTGAAAATGGCTCATCTAGTCCTAAATCAAGTCACTTTATCCAAATACCAGTTTCTTGAAATCAAATACTTGAAATCAAATACCAGTTTCAAGAAATCAAATACTGATTTCTTGCCCTCCCACAAACTCCCTAAACTGGACAGTTGATAGAATTCGTTGGTGGTTTCGACTCTGGGGCGAGTATTTAAACAGTCCATGGAAAAAAGAAAGATGTTTAAATATGTAGGCTCCAACCAGTATTTTAAATGATTTTACAGCAGTGGTCTCAAACCAACTGCACAGTAGAATCATCTGGAGTTAATTTTTAAAAGTGGTGGTGCCCAGGCCTTACCCCAACCCAGTTAAGTCAAACTCTGGGGCATGGGGCCTGTACATCAGTAAAAGCATGCTAGATGATTCTAGTTATGCTTTAGACTGCTAATTCTATTAGTATTTAAAAAAAAAAAAAATTCACCTTTCTAACTGTAGCAAGTCAGAAAGGTACCAGGAGATTTGGGGGTTAAGTTGAACTTTACTTTGCCCAGAGTTTCTGTTAGGGTAAGAATGTTGACTGCCAGATGTCCCTTTCTCAGGTCTAGCATGTGTGATTGGCTAGAGAAAGTCTAGTCTTCCTGAAGCTTCTTGTTGCAGAAGTTAGGTTTCCAGCTTCCTTGGGGAGAGACATCTCACATTGCAGAGAACTGTGCTAAAATCAAAGCACAATGTTGTATTTCTTTAGTTTGAGAACAAAGTTGAGGTGCTGAGAGGCTTGTCTTTTAAAATCTGTTTTCTACTTAGATCGCTTTTCAGATTAACATAGACATTAGTAGCTCTCATCTTGTTCCATCCTTTGGGAAGGTCTTGATACTCTTCTTACTTCCTAATGGGTTGGTTGTCCACACAGGGAAACCATCCATTTATCTCACTGTCGAGGAGGTAAGCCACCACATTATGTTCTCCAGACTTGCTGGACCTTCTTGTGGCTGAGTAGGGAAGGTCTGCTGGGTGGACACTTTCGGATCTCTTCACATTCTGGTGAGCCTGGTTTTCACTTTGCTTTTGTTTATTCACCAAAGGGCCAGGAACCACCAAGACAGCCAAGCCCTCAGCTGTGCCTCCAGGCCCCCCTGTGTACCTGGACCTGTGCTATATTCCCAACCACAGCAATAGTAAGAATGTTGACGTGGAATTTTTCAAGAGAGTGAGGTCTTCCTACTACGTGGTGAGTGGGAATGACCCTGCTGCTGAGGAGCCCAGCCGGGCTGTTCTGGACGCCTTGTTGGAAGGGAAGGCTCAGTGGGGCAGCAACATGCAGGTAAGAGCCCCTCACAGTGTCTGGACTGCCCATGGAGCTGTGTCCAGAGGCAGAGGGCAAGAAGCACGATGGTTGTGTTTGTGGATCCGCATGAGATGCCCCACGGTGTGTCACACGTGGACTATCCTGACAACAGAGAGAATTTCATACAGAAGAAAATCTAACTCTTACTCTTGGCACCATCCACAGCCGTGGCCTGAGGGGAGAGCCATTTTATCACCCTAAGGCATAATTTATGTATCTGCAAAATGGGCCCTACATTTTCTGCCCTTCCCCGCTAATACACTGAGAGTATGTGGGTGAATCAAAGTGGTCACCTTTTCATGTGAAAGCTGCTAAGGAATTGTCTTTTTTTGTGTTTCACGAATTGACCAAAGCTAGGAGTGTGGCCACTTAGAAAGTCAGCTTGTCTGTGTGGAGTAGAGGGGCTTTGCTGAAAAGGTCCCAGAGGACACTCCTGACTCCCAAACATCTGTGGCTGGCAAAGAACTTCTCTTTATTATTTCCACTATGATTTTTGTTTATCTAAGTTTTCCTCATGGTTCTGTACAGTCACTGAGTGAACTCACTGGGTCACCGTGTGTTTGCATGACATTAAATAGAATAACTTATTTTGTAATCCTATATAATCCAGTGAGAAGCACTCAGTGGCCTCTTCCTGAATACTAGGTACAATTTTTATTCTTCAGTCCTCTACCCTCCTACCCACACCTCTTCTCTATTTCCAGCCACACATATAAACTAAATCTTTGTTCTCAGGATGAAATGTTAGTTGCAAACAAGTAGAGGACTTTGAACTGCCATAATAACTACAGCTCCTTGAATTAAATATGCAATATCTTTAAAATAAAACTGACCATTTCTGTTATAATACCTTGAAAGAATTAGAAAAAGAGATGGTGAATATAGATGAATTAATTGACTAGTCATTTAGTTGCTTTTGGTTGCAGTCTTCAGCTCCTTCTCCCCCCAAAACTAATTTTTGATAGCATCATTCTGTTTCCTGGAAAATGAAGTGAAAAGTCTTTTTCTGGGAGAAAACAGAAAATCATTCCTTTCTTCCCTCTTCCTTTTTTTTTTTTTTAAGATTTATTTTATTTATACAAGAGCTGGGGTATAGGCCATAGATGCAGGGGGTGAGAGGACTCACCAGAGACAGAGCGGGGAACAGAACAGGCAGACTGGCTGAAATACACTGCTGAGGGGAGCAGCGGGTGAGACTGGAGAGGTCTGCTCACCATGTAGGTTGCTCCAAGGCCGGCGGGGATCGAACCGGCACTGCAGAGGCTGCGGACAGCTTCACAGCGCTGCACTCCCTAGTGTCTGTGCCACTAGGGAGACCCCTCTCTTCCTTTTCTAATTAATACCTTATTAATGTTCCATTTTTTTCATTTGATCTCTGGCCGTGCCCTTAAATGGCCGTTTTCTCTTTCCCTGCAGGTGACCCTGATCCCCACTCATGACTCAGAGGTGATGAGGGAGTGGTACCAGGAGACCCACGAGAAGCAGCAGGACCTCAACATCATGGTTCTAGCAAGCAGCAGCACCGTGGTGATGCAAGACGAATCCTTCCCCGCATGCAAGATTGAGCTGTAAAAAGCTAGGCCAGCCACACCACAGGATTTGAACTTTGTTTCCAGAAATTCTTCAATTTGAATCCACCTTTTCTAAAATGTCAATTCATCTAAATAAGTCGCCGAACTGTTACCTGCCAAACGCTATACTGTGTCATGGTGACACAAGTCACCACAATTTCTCACTTTTTGCTGATTGCTAAGGGAAGTAACAGTATTCCCACAGTAGGGTTCAAGTTACTGCAAAATTACCTACCCCAGTTCATCTCTGCTGAACATTTGGAAACCATGCACTAGCAAACCCAACTGACTTCTGCTTGATAGAGGCATTTGTCTTAGAGAGAGCTCAAGAAGGAGAGAGAGAGGGAGAAAGAGAGAGAGAGAGGATGCACGCACAGAGAGACCGTAGGGGGGAGAGAGAGAATGAGAAAGAAAAAGAATGCAAAAGAAGGAGATGTAATGATAAGAGAGTGCTGGTGAGATACCCAGAAAGAGAGCAGGGTGGGGTAAGGAGGAGAAAAGAACCAACAATTAGGTCTGCATTTTCTCAGACAGTCTGTATTCTGTAGTCTACACAGGCAAAGTTTTCAACGTGTGTCACCAAAAAGGGTCTTCATTTTCTAAAACAAGTTGGCTGGAAGAAAACAAAAGAGAACAAAACTTGTCATGAGGGCGTGTGAGATTTTCCCGCCTTAAGCACCTTCAGTTTGAAGGCTGCACACTGACATAACCAAGTAGTGTAGACTGGACATGCAAGTGGTTAGAGCCCCCAACTCTCAGCCTCTTCAGACACACGAGTAGATCGATCTAAGGCATGCTCCCAACATTTGTACACCCAGTCAGCCCACTGAGTCAATTAACCTGCATGCAGAAACACCCAAGTCCATCCCAATTAACAAGCAAATACCAAAGCGGTTGGGAGTACAAACAGTAGACAATTTGCCTTAGAAAGTGACTTGAATGTACAAAGATACTTGATGCACTTATTTTTTAATGTGAGACAGCAAGTTTATAAAACACCCATGTAGGATTATAGACACTCCAGCTAAGGAGCATGTGTGTGCGCGTGTGGGGTACTGAAGCGGATCTGATCGGTGCAGCGGTTTGGTGGTCACGTGCGTGGAAAAACACCTCCGCGCTCGTGGGCCTCAGCCAGACACGTTGAGCCTTTCCTAGCTTCATTACTACTGCAAGTTCAAGATTGAAATGGCTTCTATGATCAGAAATGGGAAAACAGTGAATCTTACGGTGGAAGAGTTTCTCAGCAAGTGTACAGTATTTACCTTCCTTTGTCTTACATTGGCTTTTTTTTTTTAATTTTCCATTAATTCCAGCACAATTATCAGAACAAGTGTACAGAAGAATTTTTTTTTAGCTATGTGAGAACTTTTCATAGATGAACTTTTTAACAAATGTTTTCATTTACAGGAAAAAGCAAAGCAAATTTTCAAGTGACAGTCTTTTTTTTTTTTAAGTGTTTCATAAGGCAAAACAATGAATATTTTTTTTTCTTTTAAGTTCTGGTGAGATTGAAGTCTGATACTGCAGTAATAATATTTATTAAAAACCCATAACTACCAGGAATAGTGATACCTCCCATCCCTGGATTCCCTTAACATAAAAATCTTGAGTATACGCTAATCGAGAGTGGGGAGAATGGCAATGATAGGCTACTTTTCCAGGCCATGACAAGAACATCGCCCCGTGGTATCACACACACACACTTCTTTCAAGATCTTCAACCATGAGGTAAAATAGCCAAGACAAGTTCAAAGAACCTGAGCGAAATTTTGCTTTGGGATTTTCTTTTCTGGAAAAAAACAAAAGAAAAAATACACTGAAAGCAAGTGAACCCCCAGCTCCTGCGGTTCATCATGTAGAGTTCAGAGATCATTTCCATCATTGTTACCATGGAACTATGAACCTGGGAAGTGGACTCATGATTAAAACTGACATCCAGTTTCAAGTTCAGATCAGTGCACCCGTGTTCAGATGTGGCAGACGTCTCAGTGACACCCATGCTGTGCTGCGTCACGTTCCGTTTTCTGTAGACTCTGAGATCTATGGAGTTTAGTGAACAATGACCTCATTTTATTTTCTATGTTAGTTATTTATTTCAAAATTAACATTTTAGTTTATTTTTGTCTGATAAATGTGTGTTTTGCACTGCTAAATACTATGAGGGTTTAAACAATGCTTCTTCGGGGTCCCTTCCCTGCGGACCTATGCAGTCTACTTAATGCTGTGAATTACATTTTTCAAATGTTTAATTTTTTAAAAGAATTAATATTCTATTTTTTTTAGACTTCTCTAGAAATGCAGCTTTTATTTATTACCCTGTTTCTTTCAAGTCCTTAAGAACAACACATTGAGGGTACAAAAAATTAATGAAATGGAAAAGTCATTGTGAAGTCATTGTGACAAAAACGGACTTCATTGAGTATAAACTCATGTACTTAAAAGTTACTTTTGAGCAAAGCTAAGATACTCAATATAATTATTTAGTGATTAGTTGTTGGGTTGGTCCACATAATGCATGGGAAGAGAAACAGATTTCCAGCCTTCTTGCCAAATTCAGACCTCTGGTTGATCTTTCTTTGATAGAAGATGGAATTATTTTCCGATTTCCCAAGTTAAATTTATTTAACATGTACATGGTTTTACCTTAAAAAATATATCCTTTTTTGGAGAATTGGACCCAGTCTTCAGTGGTAAATATTCCACCCCATTCCTTTTCTCCCGTTTTCTTTTTTGCTATAGGATTTAATGGGAAACATACACAAAAGCTGTCACCGAGCAGCTGGCTCCTTTTCCTATGAAATGTATCAGTAGCTTTCTCCATCCATACTTCTCCATGATGAACACAGAGCCTGAACATGCCAGAAAAAACAACATTTGCATTATAGGTTGCTCCTGTCCTTCCAGACATCTTTCCTACCTGTGTGACTAACCTAATTTTGCTAGTTCCATAAATACACGATTAGTTTAGTAACAGCCATCACAGTGCACCATGTACATTCATGGTGAGAGCTGAAGATTGACACAGACTTCTAGAAGTTTTATTCACACTGATTACTTAATCCAATTGTATAGATTGAGTATTTGAGTGGAAGGAATTTACACTCTGTAGATGATGGGATTCCATCAAGATAGCACACATGATCATGACCTTTTTGGTAGTATCTTAAACAAAATTATACCAAGACTAAATGTTAGAGATGACCCTCCATTTTCGATTTTAACTAATTCTCTCCCCGCTCCGATCCCAAGCCCCTGTGCATGCTTTCTCAGTCTTGTGGTGGGACTGGATATGAAGACTGAATCCCCCTCCTTGCCCCCTGCCCTGCTGTTTTCCATGGAGTTCAAAATTTTTTCTTTTCTTACCTTACATATCATAGTGAATGGTTTCCCTAGTGTATATGAATGTTTTAAGTGTCTCCGATAGCTTATGCAGTTTAGGAGCTTTCCAATACTCATTTAATGAGATCTAATCATTTGCTAATGGAAAGTTTACCATCTTCCATTTCCCTCTGTTACCAAATTTCAGCTCTCAGGAGCTGCTCTACAATTCTGAAATTGCTTTTCTTGCCTCTCTTTAGTCACCTGTCATAAGAGGTTCTTGCTCAGTAATGATATTGTGATTTAGATTAATAGCTTTTCTTTTCTTTTCTTTTTTTTTTTTTTTTTGGCGCTTCAGATTGAGAAGAACAGATCTGTTTCCATTTGAAAGGAACTGTAAGCATTTCTCTTTTAACCAACTGAACAATACACCAAAAGCCGCCTAGCAATGAGCATTTCTTTGAAAGCAATTAGGTTATTCACCTGGTATTAAACTACTAAAAAAAAAAAATCTGTGACTTTAAGTTAATTTAAAAGACAACAACAAAACTGAAAAGGAAGGGGAAAAATAGCTTCTCCGCACTCGTTTGGAGCTCCCCAAGAGCGGAAGCCTGCGAGATAAGACAGCAAGACCAGACTGCTCCTTGAGAACACCTGGAGGCTGGTCCAGTCTGGACTCCCGAGCGGCCAGCGGCCCTGCTCTTTCAGCCCTGGGCAGAGGGTCCTGAGCCCAGCTGAGAAGCACCTCCCACTCCTCTCTCTTGTTCTGAATGGTGTTTGTGTCAGTCTGCAGCTGTGTATGGTATTATGTCTTATAATCCTGCATCACTTCTATCCTATCCAGTCATATCTAATGTAGAAAATTAGTTTCCAGTGAAAGTAATATGTAGTGCTTTTATGATATTTGTGTGCAATATCCCCTCTTCCATTGAGGATATTTGATGTAAAAGAAAAAAAAAAAAACTCAGTTCCACAATAAAATACAAAAGTGGCAAAAGTTCACGTGTGTGCTGCGTTCTATTGTTTGTTACTGAATTGAAAACACCCGAAGCTGGGGTTTGCCACTTCCAGCGGGAGGAGAAGGGTGGCTGGGACATTTAGTCATGCAGCGTGACCAGGTTCCTTTAGCGTGATGTTTTGGCAAACTGCTGGGAGGACCCTACCACCAACTTCTATAATTGCTACCTCATTATCTTTTATAGCCAGCTCTAGAGGATGATAGGGTTGAAGCATAGAAAGCTGGGAGATGAAGGGAAGAGACAATTAAAATCGCTTTAAAAAAACATCAAGGAACAAGGGTTACCTGCTTGGCACCCCTCTGATCAGAGAGACAATAAATTTATGTTTTTGCCTTTAAAAAAAAAAAATGAAAGGACCAGGGCATTTGGAGGCTTATGCAAAGCAAAGCATGATGTAAACAAGAAGCAGGTTTTAATCCTAGCTTGGCCACACCTGGTGCCCTGACGGCAGTTACTTTGTATAGAGTTCTTTTCTCACCTTGTGAAATTCAAGAGGAATGGATGAATGGTCCCTCCCAAGGTTGATTTGTGGGACTCTACAAAGTCATCATACTCGATAACTATCACCAGTACCTAATCTCCCTGTTGGTTTTTTGCTTAGCTACAGAATAGGCTCAATCCAACTAAAATACACTGTGAGGAAAAGTGATTATAATTAATAGTACTGGAAAAGGAATTCCCTTCAAACAAGCGAGGGTGTACTTTTAGTCTATACCTATGTCGGGTAAGTGAAAGGTATCACCGTCCCCCTCCCACTATTAGATTAAATGCATGCCTGATGGCGGGCACCTGGAGTAGGGTGTGGGCATGCGTAGGTGGGCGCACCTGAGCCAAGAGACTGGGCTTATAAGGCCAGGGGGGCAGAAGAGGGTGTAGTGTGGACCGCCGTGGTGTGGATTACGGGGGAGTGTGGCAGAGTGTGGCGGCAAACAACAGAGAACATGAAAACACCAACAGGTCTGCTTGAACCGGTGAGGAACCTACCGGGTATGGGATTGTTGCATTACAATCTAGCAGGGGAGAAGAAAGACATAACTTCTGCCCTAACTGAATGGGGTAACAGGGGACCCCCAAATTCAAGGGTGAGTTTAGGTGACCACAGGAAAAGCACTGGAAATGATGTCCGAGATAGTGTGTTTGTGTGTGTGTGTGTGTGAGAGAGAGAGAGAGAGTGAGAAAGAGAGGAGACAGAAACAAAAAACAAATTCCATCTCCATCTCTCTACCTCTGGTCTGCTACTTGTCGTTGGCACCTGAGGAGTTCTTCATTTCTATGTCTGGTTTAACAACTATGTGAATCATGTCTACCCCCACCTCCAGTTTCTGGTCTTAACGATGGTCTACTCTTAGCCTCCATCAGTTATATGGTGTCCTTATGGAGTTTGGAATCAGACCTGGGTTCATACACTTTCCTTGCCACTTACTGTGTGACCCTAGGCAAATTGTTCCAGTCTCAGTTTTTTCCTTTGCAAAATGAGTAGCAATTCATGTCCCATGTGGGGCCGTTGCCAGGATTAGAGAGGATGTATTTAATGAGGGGGGAGTACATTTGGTAGAAACGGGGAAACACAAAGAGCAGTGGTTTAAGTGAAACGGACATGCTCAAGGTGGGTTTGAGTGCTCATGAGTTGGAGCCTGGAAAATAGCGATCCCCAGTGGTGGTGGTCCAGCAGTGTCATTGGAGGAAACTTTTAATGGGCATTTTGACCCACTTTACATAGTAGGCATATTAACTTCTCAGGGTGTTTTAAAGATTACAGTTTTGAACTCTGCAGAGATGAAGCATTACGGAAACCAAAATGCAAGGGAAATTCTCTATCATTGGGTACATAAGAGGACATGATATCCCTTTTACAAATCCTGTGTAAAGCTTCCCTATTGTCCCTGATGCAGCATTTAAAACCCATAATGGAATGTATTTTCAGATGCTTTTGTAAGGATAAACTCCTTGTTCTTTGAACATGTCCAGCTAGAGTCCCTAACGCTCATAGATAACACAAACACAGCCCAAGTGTAGCTGTTGTCTTAAACAAAGAACCCATGGCAACAGGCTTAGTCTCAGGGGCCCTGTCACCACCTTTTGTTTGGATTCCTTGTCACCTCAGGTAATAACATCCTCAGGGCAGCATGCACCCTCAGCTGAAAGACCAAATAACAGGAAAGAAAAGGCTGTTTTCTCATTAAAAGCTGTTTTTAGAATAACAAGCAAATTTCCTGACACGATTGTGTTGAAAATCACTCCTCTTTCCCTGTTTTCCAAAGTAAGACTGTAAAAATGTATCATTTTCAGAGTTTAAAAAGTTCTGCTTTGAAGGTTGCTAATAACCATTTAATGAAAATTCACACAATATTTGCTTTTATGATTCACAAAAGCCTAAGCCCTCTGACCCCATTTCAAACTCAACCATTCCTCCCCCACTTCCAGGGAGGTTATAGGGTGCAAAGGTGTCGGATTCCATTGACTCATGTGAGGTCACATCACAGCAGCCTCATTTTAGAACTCAAGACACCTGACACCAGATCTCTCTCTCCAGACAGCAAATCATAGAAATCCTCATTTACCACTTTTTACACTGAGCTGCTTTTAGGAAGAACAATGCCCACCCTACATCGCCATCTCTTTACATTTAATTAGCTAAGAAATAGGTGTTCATACCATTTGTTAGTGAGTCATCTGTACAAGATTAATCTTGTTTCATCCACATCCCTGCAAAACTACCCGCGAGTGACCTTATGTACTTGAGACCAGGGCTTCTAACCTTGGTACTTCTGACAACTTTTGACATTTTGGACCAGGTAGCTCTTCATTATGGAGTCTGTCCTGTTCACCAGAAGATGTTTGGCTGCAGCCCTGGCTTCCGCTCACTAGATGCAATTTCATTCAGAGTGAAAAAAATTAATAAATTTTCATTACATTTATTTTGATTACTTCTTGTAAAATCTACAACAACCAACCTTCCCACACACATACCTGGTATCTACAGTCAACTTGACGGTAGGAAAACAAAATGCAAATTTTGATACCAAGGCAACACAGCCCCAAGAGGAGAGTAAGGTATCTATCTGCCCCTTACCATTGCTTTTTCTTCTTTTCCACCATATGCCATCTATGTTTTGGCCAAGGTAGGGGGTGGAGCAAAACAGATTTAGTTCAAATAGTTCATTTAAGTTCAATTTAAAGTAACTTCTCTTGAGTATCTACTCTACGCAAGACTCCGTGGAGAATACTCCATGGAGAAGAATATCAGCTCCACCCCTGAGTCAAGCCTATGTGACTAATGAAAGTGTTGTAGTTTTTGGAGTCCATGGGTTTGGGGTGTGGGATCCTTGGGGTCACTCTGGGAAAGGTTTCACGAAAGCTCCCGTTTCAGCGACACGCAGGGAATTTCCCAGGCGAGTTTTTCCACACGACAGAGACATTAATTATATCTAAAGGGCAGGTTTATTAGGGAAGAGATAAAACAGTGAAAGACACTTGCATAGACACAAGCAGGCAGGAAGAGCTGCCCCCCAAAAGACAGGTTTGCTAGAGAGGCCTGCTTGGTTGCAGGGGGCGGGCTTGCCAGGTGACAGGCAGGCAGGAAGGCTGCTGCCCTGCAGAGGGAGAGTTGGTGAAAAGAGGCACCTGCATAGAGTCACAGGTGGGCAGTGGGATTATTGCCCCAAGCCTGTGCAGAGACTGCACTGATAGAGTCTTCTGTTTGGGAGGGGCTCACTCCTTGTGAGTCTCAGTCGGTTGCTAATTTTGTGTTTTATTTTTTTTTAAAGATTTATTTATTTATTTATTTATTTATTTATTTATTTATTTATTTATTTATTTATTTATACAAGCACTGGGTACAGTCAGAAGCGCGGGAGGGTGAGAGAATTCACCAGAGCCAGAGTGGGGAACCGAACAGGCAGACGTACTGAAATGCACTGCTGAGGGGAGCAGCGGGAGCGGCAGGAGAGATCTGTTGCGCCATTGTGGGACCGTCGCCGCCGGCGGCCAGGGATCAAACCAGTGCTGCAGAGGCTGCGGGCAGCTTCGTAGCCCAGCAGCCCAGTGCTCAACCCCTGCGCCACCAGGGGAGGCCCAGTTGCTAATTTTGGATAACTGTATAATTTGAAAGGGACTGGAGATTCTACAGTGGGCTCAATCTCCATATCTTTACCTTTGGGCCGGTGCTCTCCACAGCAGTCTGATACCTGCTTGGATGTTATGCTTTGTAATCTAGGCATCCACGCCTCAGGATACTAGTGGCATCCGTGCCTTGGGATACTAGTTTCCACAACTGTGTCGATGGTTATGCTAATCTCTTCTGCCCCCACCTCCTTGTGTGAGCCAGGTTTCTTGTCTTGTGGCGCCTCCTTTTTTAGTTTTTTTCTTTCTATTCCTGTCCTCCATCAAAAGTATGAATCAGAAATCATTTCCTTCATTAGAGCTTCTCCCAGGTCTGGGCTTGAAAGGCTCTTCCTGTGAATACCTGTATCACCATCTGTGTCTTTAATGATACTCTCCAGCTGTACTGATGGGTGTGTATGTGCCTGTCTCCTTGTCTTTACTGGGATCTTCATTATTTGAGGGCAGGATCTATAGTTTTCTGTGTAAACTCCATAGCACTGAAAATGGTGCTTTGCACACAGCATGTGATTGGGAGTCTGTTAAGGCAATGCTGGAACAGTCTGTCCGTTACAGTCCCCAAGCTTATAAGGGGGTGGTCAGTGGAGCCAAATGGAGCAGAGTATTTAAGAGTCAGGGTCACCACAACTAGTGTGTAACAGATTGAAAGCCAAATTCTCAGGGGCTAGTGAACAAGCAACTAGCCAGTACTTGTAGATATTCCTGTAAAAAGTTTAGTGATAAAAGGAGAGTGATAGGATAGTAGTTTGATGACAAGATAAAGACTTGTGTTTTCAAAAGGGAAAGAGATCTTGAATGAGGCTTGGAGGAAATCAGAGATGATGCAGGATGGCAAGGATAGGTGTGATGGTTTGGGGACATTTAGGTAAGCACTCAGGTCACAGATGAAGAGCATAACTTTGGAAAGGAAGAAGGGGAAACCTACCACTTGGAAGGAAGAGGGATGATGGAGAGCATGCGCACATAGAGAATTGTTAAGCTAGAAAGGAGGGAGCTTGATATTTGTGTGGTTTAAGTTTTCTTGATAAGTTAGGAAGCAGGAACATCTTAAAAATCTGGGGGTAGAGGCCTCCCTGGTGGTGCATAGGGTTAAGATGCAGCACTATGAAGCTATCCGCAGCCACTGCAGTAGGAGTTCGATCCGGCCAGGGAGGCCACCAACATGGCGCAGCAGGCCTTTCCTGTCTTGCCCACTGCTCCCCTCAGCAGTGTATTTCATTCAGTCCGCCTGTTCTGTTCCCCATTGTCTCTGGTGAATCCTCTCATACCCTGCACTTCGGGCCTGCACCCAGTTCTTGTATGCATAAATTAATAAATCATAAAAAAAAATCTGGGGATAAGGGTCTGGGGTTTAAAGTTAATGACGTAAAAATGTGAGGACAGTGCAAATTGTAGAGAAATCAGCCTAATGTCACCACTTTATATACTAACACTTGGTATATCAGAAGCAAACAGAAAAAAAAAAAAACAACAAATGGTAGTGGATTAATTCCCAGGACTTAAGTTTCCAAGATCATGATTTAGGGATGAGGCTAGAGGTCTGGCTATGAACGTGGTAGGTCAGTTAGAGGGAAGATAATTTGTTACAGGATACTGAGAGCAGTTACCCATCCCCAGGGAAGAAATATAGAAGGTGATCTGGGCAGAAATCCATATCTGTGAAAAAGGACAGAGGACAACTTGGCTAGACCTTAAGACGTTGCAGGCAGGCAGGAGAGTATCCCATGGCTCAGGAGATGAGAGCATAGGGGAAAAGGGAGTAGCTTGGGAAGGAAAGACTCCCAAAAGGGAGAGTTCCTGAGAGATGGGGGCACAAGTTTAGGAGGAATCCTGGGGAGCAGGGAGTATGAAAACTCATGCCAAGCATTGGCACACGTGGCGGAAATGATGTCTTTTGGTGAGGATAGGGATTAAAGTGCAAGAGTGATGATGGACAAATAGGCCTAATTATGAACTGAACATTAATCAGGTGCTTCATGTGTGACGGTCATGAATTTATTGAGTAAATGCACCAAGATTAGTCCTGAACCTTTCTCTTATTGTAATAAGGTAGCAGCTGGAAAAACCCTACTACCTGATAAACCAAAATGTCAGATTGATTTGGGTCATGACCCTCTACCTAAGAGTCAGCTGTGCTGGTGTCTGGGACCCCGGGTTGGGTACAATGCAGTTAGACATGGAGGGTGAGGAGCAGCGCTAACTTGACCTCGGAGTTACTTAGTTTTCAGTTCCTCATTCTAAATGGGAGCAGTACCTCTATCATAGGGTTGCCTGAGTTGTTGGCACAGTCTCTCCTCAAATGAGTGGCTGTTATTATAAATATCACAGGCTGCGATGGAGGGTTGATATATGTTGCTCAAAATCAGTTACTATAATGAAGGCAAAGTCCCTTGTCTCCCTTCCTTCCCCCAGTGATAAAGAAAACACCCAAATAATCCGAGAAGATTTATTTCCATAGATGCTTGATAAAAGAGCACAGACCCGAGGAAGTGTACACCACTGCGTTACAGGCAAAATTACATCGCGAGCAAGAGCTACCCCCTAACCCTTTCACAGAGAAAGTACAGAAGGGAGTTTTCCACCTCTCGACAGCTTTACAACTATTCATGTCTGCTATGTACTTTGAGCCCCAGCTCATCTCTCATATTCCCCATTTTCTCTTACTGGGTGTCAAAATGGTGCATGTGTGTGCACATACGGCTCATTTCATCTGCTTGATGACGGAGCTGAGACAATGCTTTGGACAAAAGTGACCCGGATATGATGGAGAAGCCAAGCCAAGGAGGTTTCAGGGCAAGTGCTAGTTTCCCCCTCAAAAGTCCCTATGTTCTAAAATGCCAAATTGGTCTCCCAAAATTTGAAAAGCAGTGTGTCCGTGATCTTGAGTTCATTCCCGTACTGAACTTTCCCCAGTTCAGGTCTGGAAGGGAAAGACCGAGGGGAAGGAGAAAGCGGGCCGTGTGGGCACCCAACTCAGGGAGAGAACTTGTACTAAACAGGAGACCAAGGAGGACTGGGTCACAGACATGCAGCTCCCCTCTGCTGGGAAGGCAGACACTATTTAATACTGAAGACCCGTTCCTTGAACCACAGCCTCTCCCACCACCTTCTCTAAGGATCAGGAACTTTCAATGTTCGAAACTGCTCCCTGTCACCCAGGAACTTCTCCATAAGCTTCAAGCTCCTTATTTTTTAGTCAGGTCACTTGCCACTTTCCTAGTGGCACAGCCCCTCTGGCATCGGGATGCCTTGCCGATACACACAGCCTTGATACAGAGCACTTTTACACCACAGGGTCCTGCTTGGAGAAAAGGAGATGGCGGGGGAAACAGGCCTGCGTCACAGTCCCTGTGAGTCCTATGTCAGGGTCTGGTGAGCTCTGCAGGGGCCATCAGGCAGATGCCTTTGCAGCTCTTCGAGACTGGTACGCCTGCTTTGCCCGTTTCCTCTGCTCCTGTTCCCTCTGAATCAACTGCACCCGTTCCAGATGCCACTGCTGCAGCTTCTGCTCATAAGTGGCCAAGTCCTCTGCCTCACAGGTGGGGAGTTGCTCTCGAACAAGCTCGGTGGTCAGAGTCAAAAGGCTTCTGGACTCAACTTTGCCCATACTTTGAAGCTTAGAAAGTAAGTCCTGTTGGAAATAAAGTGAAAAAAAAGAAGGTTGGGGGGGTGGGCAGGTGGGAATTGAAGAATTGAAGTCACTTGTAGAATCTCCACAGCTCCTGCTCACAGGAAAAGGCGCTTTGCTGGGAATCTACTGTGCTCTCCTTCATCCAGGCACTGCTGGCGCTTGCTGGTTTTTTTTTTTTTTTCAGACCAGCAATTTTGCTAACATGCACATGGGATCTCTCCCCCTTTACTTAAAAAGTAAATGGAGATCCACGTGCTCCATGTGCTGTGATTCCTCAGGTAATATCTCACTTTAAACCAAAGACAGCACAGGTACGACAAAGCCGTATTTCCACTCTGACCTGAACCAAACCAAGCAGCAAGTTCCAAGAACAAAGAACCCTAAGATGCAGACACAATGGCAGAAGCAGCTGACAACATGGGGCAAGCCATCCATACCTTTGCCTTTCACAATAAGTGAGATAAATGTCTGCCTAACTAGCGTGCCTTTCAACAGATGGAAATCATTTCAAGGATTTCTTACTAATGGCATGCTAAACAGCTCCCAGGAGAGCGCGCGCTGCTATAAGCTCCCACTGCTGTGTCCCACCACAGGTCAGCCTTCGCATACTGACTGCTCACAGCGCCATCTGAAATGGCAGCGCAGTTTGTTTCATATTGTATTCCTGGAGAAATAAAGGACTAAAAAACACTAATCTACTTAAGTGCTTCAAGATGTAGATCATCAGCGAGAACCACTTAGGGGCCCTGCTGTAGCTTACCCTGCAGCACATACCCTGTTCCGCAAAAAATGCAATTTCACTGGCACACACCTGTGATGAGGCTGCTCCAAAAGGGGAAGGAAGGTGGGCAGGTCCATGGCTTTCAAGGAAAGGCCTGAGGCCCAGTGTGATTGACCAGTCACATAAAATTGAGTAAGAGACTAATAAAAATCACGCAACAGGAAGAAAAGGAAATGTAAAATGAAAGTTCTTTCTTTCTAATGGATTCTCCATGTGGTTTTTAGCCAATGAGACAGCTTGGGATGCCAGAATGAGGACTCAGCTTTGAGTCAACAAACTTTAGTTCAAAATCACAGTCATTTAAGGATTGGTTCCTCTCAGCCTGTGGTCCTGTAGCATGTGATGGCTAATATAAAACTAGTGATCACTAAATATTTGTCTTTTTTTTTAATTTTCAAAAACTAAACATTTGTGGAAGAATATGGGCTGCAAGCATAGATTTCTATTCTCTAAGATTAAATATATAAGAAACAAAAAATGGTGGTAATTTTTAGGAGTGATGTGGCTAGCTTTGGTTCATATGATTATGGTGAATGATAATCCATGGGCTGAGCTAGGTAGATTTTTTTTTAGTTTATTCATCTTCTAAATTTACAAAGCTATGCAGTAAGAGGAAAGAGCAGGTATATAAATTTTTAACCTAGTTCTACTAATTCTCCATGTACCTTGGGAACATTGATTTATCTTTTTCAGCTTTCAAATTATATAAAAGAAGGAAGCTGAGCAACACCCATCAGAAGTACTGGGGGAAATGGTCACATAACTGGTTCAATATAAATACTGAAAAGATTTACATGTAGTAATCTGGCAAAATTGACAACTCTCTGTCCCAATATGCCACTAGAGGTCAGTTGGTATGGACTGGGGGTGGGGTGGTGGGGTGTGTGTGTGTTCAGGGCTGTTCTAAAAAGAAACAGTGGAAGCTTGTTTGCATCGTCCATGTGGCCCAAGAGAGCACTTCCAATGGCCCCAGGGACTATCACAAAGCCGCCAGTTAAGCAAAGGAAGATGCATGCAACTTTTTAATATTAAAACATGCCTTTGTGATCTCCACCTGGGTTTCTGGGTCACCAAGCACGTTCAGTGCACTATGGAGAAATGACCAGATTCTTTCCACCCAGTGTTGGAATCAGGTGATTGCTGTGAGGAGGCAAGCTATTACCCACCCGTCAGGCACATGTCAGGGATGAGTGGGTAATGACAAGCTGTCTTGGTGAACAAAACTGTGACCAATTAGCTCAAATACAAAGGGGAGCATAAAAATTCCATTTGTTTCTTTTAAGACCACTTCCTGTGCGAGGCAATAAAAATGTAATTTTTGATGTCAGTTTTTAATGCCTTTGTGTGTGACAGTGATGCATGAAAGGACGGGTTGTTTACCAGCACAGTGGGGGAGCATGTTTAATGGCAGCTGAGAGGCACTCGACTCCCCCATGACTCACCTTGAATCGTTCCAGGTACTGGGGAAGCTTGGACTGTTCTGTCTCCTCCGTGTCCAACTGCTCCACCAGCTCTTCTGGGCCCTGGCTGCTGTTGCCTTCTTCCGGCTGCTCCCCTGAAGACTCAGGGGCCGGAGTGGTCAGCGCCTGCAGTGCTCTGCCCAGCACATCGAGCTGTGGGGCACAAAAAAGGGCAGAGGCTCAATACCCTGTGGGCCTGAAAGCACACTGTGAACAGGGGCTGGGGAAAGGAAAATAAGGAAAAGTGGGGATCTAAAAACACATGAGACTAGTCTCCTTATAACATGCGAGGAAACAGATGATTATATGATTTCACATTAGAAGCCCCTGTTGGGAAATATGGAAAACTCAGTACAAAAAAAAATGGCACAAGTAAACAAGCTCAGGATTATCTGCACAAGTGAGCCAGCATTTAACTTCAATGGACGCCAAGAATGATGCTCAATGGGAATGGAAGTACCTCTCCCTTCCATGTCTTTCTCTATGGGCTTGGAATTGAGAGAAAGGGAATGAAAAACCACTGCAGGTCACAACCAACCAAGGGTCATTCTGAACCTATGGTAAAGTCTCTGAATATAGCAAGGGCCTCCTTCAGAGAAAGCTTTTAGCTCACTGAGTATCTATAAATTGGGGATCAGTGCAATCGACATAAGCTGCCAGCAAAGATCAGTCAAGCACGTGTGAAATTCATTTTAATGAGGTGCTTTTTGTGACTTAGAAAATAAGTAAATTATAAAACAGGGTTTTTCTTTCTTTATGTTTTGACCCCTCCCCCACCACTTTCAGTTAGGAGCACATCTCACTCACCCCACAAGGGATCTTATCAAGATGGGTTAGAAACAACCTCAAGGGAAACATTAGCACCCACTTGGGTATCGATTAATTCTGTTCACGTCATATGAGAACAAAAATCCAGAAAATACTCCAAGGCCTTTTAAAGCCACTAATACATTATACCCAAATCCGATGCATATCCTATACTTGTTGTCATCTGAACCACATTCCTATTAGGTCAGCACACAAAGAATGCAATTCTGGCTCACAGGGGAAGGAATATATCCCTGGCAAAGGGTTCATGTATAATTTTATGTTTTCAATCACTAATACTGACTATATGGGGTGAAAACATGAAAATATATTTAGAAATACGTATCCTTTGCTATAAACATCTGGCAGAGAACAAAGATTCACTAGACATTACTATAGTGTAGGCACCAGACTTGCATATCTGGTGACTGAAATGAAAGCCAAGGGGTGAATCCCAGTGACCAGGGTCAAGGTAAAACAAATAAGCAGCTCAAAGTTGACTTGTGCACGCTGGCAGTGGTCATTCTAGGCCTCACCTGCCACAAAATTTGCCTGGATAAGAAAAGACACTGTGGTTCCCTACGGGGTTTAAGGCTTATCAGTAGCTGTAAGATGTGGCATTTCCTGTACCCTGAGCTAAGTCTAGAAACGTCTTTGTTTCGAGGGCTCTGGGTGACTAAGTGGGATGACTTTGGTGGTGATGGGAGGCGTTTCCTAGTCCAGCAAAGTGAACACTTTACAATTTAAAAAAGAAACATCTGGATTCATATCTTTAGCATTATGCTTTCACCTCAGAATGGTTTACTGGAATGAAAGGGAAACTATGCCATCTCTACTCCCCAGATTCATTCCTGAGGGTTTTTAAGGAGGGGTAGGCGAGGAGAGATGTCATATAATCTTTAGGACTACATGAGGGTACAGAAATGTGCAAAATTTAAAATGAAATCTTAACCTCTCTTGAGCTTCTGCTGAGATCTTATTGAAGGGGAAGAAGTAGTATTTTATTGAACTAAGTTTGAATTTTAGGGGAAGAGTTTTTCCTCTTAGACAGTGAGCTATAAAATCAACATTAATCTTATTCTCAAGTGCGTTTTCTCAGAAACATTGAGAATGGTTGTGGTTTTCTATTCCTTTTTAAATGGGTAAGTACGTGCTTCTTAGAAATAAAGACAGGAGGAGGAGGAAGGAAGACAAAGAAGACACATTCAAAGTTCCATTATGAGGAACAGGAGACCTAAATCCCACTGATTAGGGCCAACAACCATACCGCTTCTCTACACAATTTTCGGTCTTCTGGGGAAGAGGCCACCTTCTCCATCACTTGAAGGGCTTTGTCCAGGTACCCCGGCTGCCATAGCAGAGGCATGTTATGGTACACGGCCCGCAGTCCTTGCTGCAATTCCACCTTCCCTGTGGGCAAAGAGAAAAATGAAGAAGGCTGAGCCACGGCTTCCCGAAGCTGGGACCCAGGATTGATTTATTTAAAAAGATTTTTTATTTATTTATGCATACAAGAACTGGGGTGTAGGCTAGAGGTGCAGGGGGAGAGAGGACTCAGCAGAGACGGAGTGAGGAGCAGAACAGGCGTATTTACTGAAATACACTACTAAGGGGAGCATCAGGCAAGGTCTGCTGTGCCATGTGGTTAGCTCCCTGGCTGGGGACTGAATGCAGGCTGTAACACTGATAGTGCTAAGACTTAACCCCTAGGCTACCAGGGAGTTATCCCTACCCCAAAAAAGAAAAAAAAAAATCTCATTTTGCCCTTCTTTCCTTTAATCTTCAACAGTACTTAAATCATAAGGTCTTTATCATCCTTTTGGGTCTCAGGACATGAATATTTCTCATTGTTGGAACTTCCCTTGCTATCTGAAAAGAATATTCTTATTTGGTATGATTTGGTCAGGTACTTTTGGGATTTGGAATGTTGAAAAATTTTCCCACATACATTAACAGCATTCCCAGACTCAAAATCGCCTTCCAGATCAAATCAAATAGGAATGTTCTACTTTCAGAGAGTAGGGGAAACTTGTACTTCAAACCACCTCTATTAGAGTTTAAGCTGTGGATGCCAGACAATAGGGCCACGGGGTGTGGAGAGAGACTGTCTGTGCACCTGAGGCCCTCTCTGTACTAGTGACCTATGCCGCCTTGAGATGCCAGGTCTTGAATCTCCCTTCACTTATCTTTCCTGGCAAGGAGGATTTGGGAAAGCTGTAGTATGACATAAATAGACAAAGCTTATCAGGTGACAGCTAATTTTAGACCTTTTAGATGCTTGGGGCTAGACTACAGTCACATCCTGGGAAGCTGCTTCCATCAGGGTTGAGGGAGGCTGCCCAGCACATGACACAATGAGAGCAAAGAGCTTTTGATTTGGTGGTTGCCAGTCCCAGAGCACCAGGGCCTCTGCTCAGAATCAAGGACAAAGTACATTTTCTTTGTCCTGACAATTCCCTGAACAATTCATGCAGTATAATGGTCCTGAATGTTAATCTGAAGGCAGGGTCAAAGCAGGGGCAAGAATATGTATAGCAATATCAAAGGTAGGTGGCAAATAAGTAGAAGGTGAAAAAAGAGCAGTTAACTCTTTTGTTATCTGGATAGCTAGCTTGATAATCTCTGAAATTCCTTAGTTTATATCAGAATCAGTATCCAGGAATGCCACAGTACATTCTGTTGCTGAAGATCAACTTCAAAAGCAGTCAAACTACTATCACTGTTAATTTTCAGAAAACAAAGGTAGCAGAAGCAGTAAAGGATTAAGAGAAGCAATACAGATTAATTCAGGATTAAGAAACACCTATATACTTAAAAGACAGAGGGAAGAATAGTGAAGTAATATGCGTGTAACAAACCTGTAAATCAGGACACATTTTATGTGCCTTTAGGTTGAATGTTATTTGCCTAGACACCCCACCACCCAGGCTCTCAGTCAACCTCAGAAAGTTTCGTCCTCCTGACCTGTCTGATTTTCAACACCAGTAGGGCATTAAAATAAAGCTGCCACCTATCAGAGTGGCACAATCACAGAGTGGCAGTGAGCCACTCTCTGCTTCCCCAAACTGCCACTACCTGTGCTCTGAGTGTGTCTTCACTCACCTGAAGAAAATGCCAAAGATGAGTTCAACCCTAATTCTTGATTTTTAACCTACTGGACTTTTGGGCTAAGGCCAGGGAAAGATGGTTGTGACTACTGGGGAAGACTCTACTGAATGGTTTTCCTAAACGGGGGGAAGAACTTTACTCCCTTTATTTTCTCCCTTCCTCACATTGACTGCCACTAGCTCTCACCTCACAGTGGTGACAAGCTTAGAACCCTCTTTACTGACTTAGGTCATAACTGTAAGGCCATCAAGATCTCCTGCTATATCTAAAAATGACAGCTCTCTTGGAATTTCACCAGTATGTTTAAATCAAATCAGAATTTTATTGTGAAGTGAGAGAATGTATCAATTCTATCCATGAAGAACAGTTATTTGTAAGAATTTTTAGCTTACCAAGAAGCGCATAGCCATATAACTGGGAACTCAACCCCACTGAATTGTTTTGCTTTAGGCCTGGGAGTAACAGAGATGCACCGAAGTTCCTCTCCTCTTCCCACTGTAACAGAACATACCAGATTATGGTCCAGGTAAGCAGTGGATACTCAATGCAAAAATATTTTTAATGATATGGAGGAAAAAGAAGATAGCATTAAATAAAACAAGGAAAGTAAAAAGCCACAGGCACATTATAACCCCAATTTTGCAAATAAAAGGTATTTATGCTTAATGAAAAGTACAGAAAATGTATGTGTGTATAACATAAGAAATGTGATATGTTAATAGGTTTCTGGGTAGTAAAATATGAACATTTTGGTTTTTGCACTTTACATTATTTTCCAATCCTCCCACACCCCCGCCCTAATGAATAGAGTTCCTTTTATAGTCAGAAAAGCAAAACAAAAATATTAAGTATACTCTGGACTGACAATGCCTTGAGACAGTGTGCTGTCGGCGCCATACAACACACTGCCGTGATGCGACGAAGCAAGTTTCTGAATTTTATACAATTCAACAATGATAAGACTCCTACTTAACAGAGTTAAAATAAATACAATTACTAGGTTGCTTTTAGATAGATTTGTTCCTCCCAAAAAATAAAGTAGGCAATCAGAAACACTTAGTGACTGTTTCTCTCAACCCAGGGTGCAAAATTACACTTCAATGAAATTGGACCCTTTTGACACATGGGGATAAAAGGGCAAGAACACAGGCATTACTAAGGTTGTTGTGGCAGCAGCGATGGGCGGGGGTCACTGGAAACATGGGCCCAGAGGGTAGCCTTGGCTACTCCCCAGAGAACTGTGATCTCGGTGCCAGAGGGTCACACCTTGGCCAGAGCCCTCCTGGCTTGGAAATTCAGAACACCATGCTCAGGTTGCCCAGCTATGCACTCAGAGGTCAGGGAGGAAGCAGAAAATGCAGGAGGTCTTCAGTTGCAATTGCAGCCAGTTGTAAGAGCAGCACCCCAGGAGCTAATGGGCAACCAAACCTCTTTATGCTTTTGTGCATGCAACACAAGTGTAATTTGTTAAGGTTTTTCTAAACCTTTGAAAAAAAGCAAAGACCTTGGGAGAAAAACAAAATCACCCTAGGTGCTTCTGCAGCACAGGTAATGAAGGACTGGGTCATTTCACTTTCAAAAGCAAATCACGCTAAGGTTTGATCCCACCCCAACCCCCCAACACAGTGAATAGTAAATAAGGAGGCTTAAGAGCATTTTTTTTTTTTCCTTTTCTTTGGAGAAAAAAAGATCTATAGAATGAGAATGCAATCAGGAGAGGCTAAAAGTCAAATAGCAATATACCTGCTGAGCTGGAAGTGAAGTGAATGTGTGTGTGTGTGTGTGTGTGTGTGTGTGTGTGTGCGTGTGTGCGTACATGCATGCTGGCTGACAGCTCCCAAAGAACATTTTATTTTTTAAAGATTTATTTATTTATTTATACAAGCACTGGGTATAGTCAGAAGTGTAGGAGGGTGAGAGAATTCACCAGAGCCAGAAAAAGGAGCAGAGCAGGCAGAAAGGACCGAAGTACACTGCTGAGGGGAGCAGCGGGCGGCAGGAGAGGTCTGCGAGCCATGTGGGACCCTCGCCCACGGCTGGGGATCGGGCCGGGGATCGAACCGGCGCTGCAGAGGCTGTGGGCAGCTTCGCAGCCCAGCGTTCAACCACTGCACCACGGGGGAGGCCCCCAAAGAACTTTTTAAAAGAACTTTTTCCACACAAAATTTTCAAACAAATGAATGTCACAGAGATTTTTTCTGTTCATTGGGAATAATGCAATCATTGCTGCTAATATAAAAAGCTGTTTGATGTGTTGACATAAAACAATAAGTCTTTTCCAAGTCTTTAGCTTCTGTGATATGTGTACTATTATGGCCTAAATCAGGTGCTGTGTCATCAGTGTCCTCAAGGTTCTCCTATTTCACACTTGTGCCTCTCCCTTAACACAAATGCAAATTTCCCCACTTCCCCTTCTTCCACTTCCCTTCACCTGTCTCTCCTTTCTTTCTGCACCCCTAACTCACTCCAGAATCGACTCTGGTTTGGTTTTGTACAACTTCATGCCTCATATCACTGCCTTCAGTGAACTTTTTATTTAATTTTAATTGTTGTATTTCTCATTGAGGTAACATTGATCCACAGCACTGTAACTGATGATCAGGTATACGTTCACCTCTTCAGAGGTATGTTTCCACACCAGTGAACTTTAAAGAGTACACATCTTACCTACCCTCTCAGAAACATTCTCTATTATAAGCCAGTCTCTCCCTAGGTGGTCCCTCACAGTCCTGACTTCCCTTTTTGTTTCCTGGCTTCTTGGCAGACATGTACAGATGGATGTATAAATTGCATCTCCAGTCCAGATTTTCCTGTTAATGTTTCAGTCTTCCTCATGAAATCTCTTGTGTCAAAGACATTTCAAAATGCACAAATTCAGAGTCAATGAATTTTCTCATAAATCCCCAATTTTTTCCAGAGGTAAGGTTTGATCCCTAACTCCTTATTTCCACCTCATCATGTTATTTGCCTCCCAAATATGTCGATGTGCTACTCTCTAATGCCCTCATCTTTTGGCCCCCATGTTAACATTACCTCTTGCTTGGATAACCGTTAATAGTCTCATAAGTGCTCTGCCCATAACCATCCTAGCTCCGATGTGGTATATTATCAATATACACAGCCAGAGGCATCTTTTCAAAACCCAAATCTGATTGTGTTATCCCTCTGCTTAAAACTTTTCAATGGCTCTTTTCTATTTTTAGCATGTAGATAAAAACAGCTTAGCATGACCTACATTCTCCAACATTACCTTACCCCATGACCTCATGCTCATCCTCTGTTGTAGCTATGCATTAGCAAGCTTCTTATCTTCTTTCAGCTGCTTTCTCCTCACCATGCTCTCTCTGCCCCAGGGCTTTTGCACATGTTATTTTCTCTTTTTGGACTTTCTTTCCCTCTTCAACCAGTTCATTCCTATTTATCTGTCAAATATTAACCCAAGATAATATTTCCCCCAAAGAGTATTTCCTAACCTAAGTTTAAGATACAAACAACAACTCCCTTCATTCATGCAGGCTTTCCATATATGAATTCTTTTTAGTGCTCATTATAATCATAATTTAAAACTTACCCCTGTTTTACTTTAAAGACCTACAATTTCCCTAGATTATAAGCAGGAAATGTTTGCTCATAGTTGAACAACTAGCTCTTGACAATGTATGGACTATAGAAGGTTCTCACTATATATATTCTATATATTGATGAAATAATGAATGTGAGGTATGCCATAGGTTAGGGCATTTCTCTTATAAAAAGCAAAACATACCACGTATTCTTTAGAATGTAGGTTAGACTTGATTATCTTTACAGTTCCTATACAAATTATTCCCCGTACCCCCGGATGTTGCATTTGTGGTTCAGAGCAGACTGTCTGGCTTTCTAGGTGGCTTCACTTACTAGCTGGGTGGCTCTTAAGTAACAATTCTGTGATCTAGTCTGCATTAATAATATTCTTTACACCAAGAATACAGCTTGGTGTAAAGTGAATGCTATTTAAATATTAGTTGTTATTAGTGTTGCTATAACTCATACTAAGATATAAGAATAAATAGTGATTAAATACCTTGATCTAAGAGATGAAACCAAAACTTGGTATTCTGACTGACCCAGAGCTACCTCAGGAAAATGCTGACAAATTAAATAATCGGTATTTAATGCTCTTTATTTAGCAGCCTCATTGCTTCTTTGATCTTCTGTGTTAACTGTCATTGATTATCAGCTAACCGTTTCTGAATGTCCGAGGACACTCAGACTAGCTCGTTTCAAAATGTACGTAGGGCTTTCATTTGAAATTCTATTGGATAGAGGAATATCCAGTTCTATGTTGTGAGAAACTAGTAACTAAAATGCACAGAATAAACACTCGTTTCTGACAGTACTGGGCCACATCAGGTACCTTCATCCACAGTCTGAGGGTGGCGGTTTCCTCTGGTCACCTCATCCCTACTCAGCAGCCACTGCCACCCTCTCCTAGCCTCTCAGTACTGCTTTATGGCAGATCACTTACGCTGAAGTCTGTCTTCTTTGCCAGGCAATAGTGCAAAACATAGAGGGAGAGGAGCTGGGTGGAAGGCACTTCAAAGGCTTCTTGCCTCATGATCTCAAAAACCACAGATAAAGCATCTGGCAAGAAGATGAACATAAACATGATAGGATCATAGTTGCAAGGTAAGTCATTAAATCTCTATTAACTACAAACAGAAAAACAATCAGAATTCAGAAGTAAAATATATGGGTGCTGATTCTAATTCTACCAACCAGATCTTTCCCAAGACTTTAGCTTCTCCTGCATAGACTATAATGTGCAAACTCAGGTGCTATGCACTAGGGTCCTCAAGGTCACAAAATAAATCATTTATTTTTTTCTCTTGGTTCCCAGAATCATCTTCATAATAACAAGATGCAATTTACCACCTTTTCAAAAGATTTTTGAACAGCCCAACTTGATAATACATATGAAAATGCAGTGTAAATTGAGAAGCAAATTCAAGGTATCACATCCATGAGCTAGAAGAGCTAAGGCATCCAGAAAGGAACCTGAGATTTTATAGGTCACCCTCAAAAGTACAGCAGGGCATGGGGCTGTCTACCCTCCTCTGTGTTCCAGTACCTTCTTTCTGCTGGTGGAAAGAGGATAAATAATACAGGTAATTCTAAATTCTAGTTATTTCAAAGTCAGAAACTGATGACTATAAAAAGGACAATCAGGCTCAGTTTAACAGCGCTGAAAGAAAGAAGGGAAAGGAAAACAGTTCACTCATAAATTATAAGCCCCTAAGTATAATATACAACATAAAATACTTGTTTCTACATGAATGCTGGTCACAGAAGATCAGAACTTGAGCAGTTTTTATTTCCACTCAATATTCCACAACATAGATGGAAGCCAAGAAAATCAAGTTCAAACAATTTCTTTCCCTTAGTATTTGCTGTTAAGTTCAAGAATTTTAATATTGGTTTAAAATACTATGCCTGTACATAATACAGAAACAACAAATGTTTTTACTGCTTGAGTTACTCTGTTACCCAATTTTTGCATTTATTTGTAACTAGGAGTTAGCAACTGATATGCAGCTGTTCCTAGTCAGTTGGTTTTGTACATGGCATGATTCTAAATGCGGCCATAGGCAAAAATTTCTATATTCTTTTTTGCAAATGGGAAAGCTGACACAGGCAGACCAGGAAGTCACCTAGCAAGTTAGTGGAAAACAAGGACCCTTTCAGGGTCTTTGACCCTACTGACACTTTTAAAAAGAGTGAGAACTGTTAATACATCCTTTTCCAAAGATACAGAGATTAGAAAAACAGAATCCAACCAAACCACTATTTTAAAATGCAATTAAAGCTAAAAATCCAGTTTAAAAAATATGTTTTGCCAACTGTTCATTACTGAATCCAAATTTACATATAAAAACTCAGATTTACTTTTATTTATATTCTGCATCACTGTCAGCTTGGGAAGTGAAATTAGTTTGGCCTGTGTAATTAAATTACTTTTCCTCCATAATCGTTTACTCACTTTGATATTTCCCATCCTAACAACAATAAAAAATACAATACTTTCTAAAAATTTTACCATAAATGAAAATCATCTTCATCAAAGCTTTATTTTTAAAAATCCTCATATTCTGCACTTAGGGAAAAAAACTCCTTTGACCTTTCTGACGTATCTTTTTTTTTTTTTTTGATTCTTTGTACCTTTATTCAAAATCAATATAATTTGTATTTTTTTAAAATTGTTTTTTTTTAATTTTTTAAAAAAAATTTTTATATTCCCCATACAATTACAACCCCCTTATTTAGAGAGTGAAGAGATAAAACTGTTACTACACAATTGTCCAAATACACAGACACATGGATTCTTAAATTTGATGTTCACAGAAAATAAGTTATGAAACATGCAAAACCTGATTATCTTTTATTTGGGTTCAGGACATGCATTTGCCTAAATTAAGTAAGAAATTGACAAGAAGGAAAAATTAACATTTCAAAAGGTAATAGCAATTATTTTTTGTCAGTCAGCAACTACAAGCCTTATGAGAAAGAAGACAAAGCAGAGGTCTAGAGAAGACAAAGAAGAGGAGTGCCGACACAGGCCCAGTGCCCCAGACTAACCACTGAATACTGACTGATGCGGAGGCGCTGATGTGCAGGGATGAGTGTTGGAATCCAGTTAGAGCAATCACAGAGGTCATACATGCATAAGCGATCAGCAGCCCATATCCTTTTTCCTTGAGGTAGTGACTTTCCTAACACAGGGGTGGCTCCTTCATGGCTCCTAGTACCACACCTAAGGTGCCATGGCAGAAGGGGAAAGCCAGTGGGCATCCTTTCATATGGCAAGGCCTCCTCCTTCCTCCCTCCTGACTGCACAGTTCCAAGTATAAGCCAAGCACCAGGTACTACATTCTCTCTCCATAGGAGACTCACGGGGTTCCGCATGACTGCTTTTAGGGTCTGCTGCATGCCCCATCAGCTTGGTCTCCCTTATTGCCTCAGAAAATAAGAGTCACTTTAATTTCCCAGGATCAGAGAATGTCAGAGGTTAGAGACCTCAGAGATCATTGATCCACTTACTTTACAGGTGAGGAAATGAAAGTCTAGCCATGAAATGACTTATCTGCAAGGCTAGTATACTGCTCTTTCCGGAAAAGTCAACTAATTTTGGAGTTTTGTATTTTATATACTATAACTATAATTTAAATAAAACAAAGCAACGTGTGATAAAAAAATCAAGCTATCAATTGCTGTACTATAATCTTAACTAATTATGAAAGCTCAGGCAGGGTTTATTGTTTAACTAAATGCATTGTCCTAAAGAGACAAACTTGAAAACAAAGGGTAAAAAACCTGGATAAATCCTAGCTGGCCAAGTGGTACTGTAAATCAAGTAGACATTTATTTCTGATCGAAAGAGTGATGGAAAGAGATGTCACTAAAAAATAAAATAAGGGAAAGTTCCTATAGTTGCTTCCCTTTGGGAGCTAAAATGCCATTATAAATTGACCTGGGTTTGGCTTCTTACCTTTATAATTTTCTTTCTTTATGAAATAATCGAGCAGTAAGTTAAATGTAAAGTTATCTGGGAAAATTCCATAATGAACCTGTAATGAAAAGGAAAATCAGAGAAAAAATACCTACCTTAATTTAACTTCTAATATATGCCCATGTGTGTTATTCAGGACAAAATATGCCATCGTTAGCTTTTAAATATTTGACTAATATTTTACAGCATCTGTGACAATGAAACAGAAGCTATAAAGCAAGAGGTTTGGTAACTGGAACTTCTGGTCAGGTAAGAAAGTTATGAATGGGTGTCTGATATAAGAAAAATGATATGTGAAAAATAACGTTCAATTCTAGTATCTTGTCATAGTTTAAAAAAAAAAAAAAAGGGCCTCCCCTGGTGGCGCAGCGGTTGAGCGCTGGGCTGCGAGGCTGCCCGCAGACTCAGCAGCGCGGGTTCATTCCCCGGCCTCCGGAAAGGGTCCCACAAAAAAAAAAAAAAAAAAACAACAAAAAACCAAAAGACACACCCCAAAACCACCACTGTTCCCCTGCCTTCTCCCCAGGCCCCCAACATATAAAACCTGCACTGACTCAGCAATTGTTTTATTAGATATGGAGCCCCACTAGAAAGCACATATTATAATATTATGCGGCATTTTCTGGTCCTTAAACTGTTTTCCCTCAACTTTACTGAGATACAATTGACATATAACATTGTGTAAGTTTAAGGTATATGACATGATTAAGGTATATAACAACATGATATATATTTTTTTAAATGTTTATCACAATAAGGTTAACTAAAACATCTGTCTCCTCACATACTTATTTTTCTGTTGTGGTGAGAACATTTAAGATCTATTCCCATAGCAACTTTTAAGTATACAATTTAATATTGTTAACTATAATCACCATGCTATAAGGTTAATACGCAGAACTTGATTCATCTTGAAATTCAAATAGGAACCCTTTGACTAACATCTCCTCATTTCCTCTGCACCCCAGAACATGGCATTCATCACTGTACTCTATCTGTGAGTTCAACTATTTTAGATTTCATACAGGTGAGATCATATAGTATTTGCCTTTCTCTAACTTATTTCACTTAATATAATGCTTTCAAGATTCATTCATGTTCCTGCAAATGGGGGGAAGGGTGGTGTTCCCTTCTTTTTTAATAGCTGAATAATATTCCATCATGTATATCTACCACATTTCCTTTATCTAATCATCTGTCAGTGGACACTTAGGTTGTTTCTATGGCCTAACTATTGTTACAGTGAACATAGGGGCACAGATATCTTTTCAAGATAATGATTTCATTTCCTTCAGATATATATATCCCAAATGTGAGATTGCTGGATCATATGGTAGTTCCACTTTCAGTTTCTTGAGGAATCCAATTTACATTCTCACCAACAGTGCACAAGTGTTCACTTTTTGCTATATCCTCATTAGCATTTATATCTTTGGTCTCCTAGACTGGTTTTTAAATGCCCAAGAAATATGTTAACAAAATATTACTAACCAATCTCTTAGGATGTTCTTTTTTTCTGTTATTAGGTTGCTGAATATTTGATAATCTCAATTTCTCAAAATGTGGACCCTTTAGTATCCATCTTGAAATCTTCTATGAGTGCTTTTAACAATGCAGAGTCCTAAGTCTCAGACTTACAGAATAAGAGTCTAGGAACAGGGCACAGAAACCTGAAGGTTTAATGAGTTTCTCATGTGATTTTCATAAACAATCAAGTTTGACCATTACGGATCTAAACTATGGTTGCATTTTTGTTTGCTTTAAATGCTTACTGAAGTATTTACACCACTCCCTACACCCATCCCCTTAGGAGATTCTGATAGTCCTACCCACCAGTTGCAAATCACTGCTGAAATAAGTCACTGGTCACTAGAAGCTGTATGAGGTGCTTCAATTGTGGTGAAATGGAAAAATATTTTAAAAGCCAATATTTTAAAGGTTTGGCTTATGGGCAGTATCTGTATTTCCCAAAGCAGTCATCCAAATGAACACTGATCTCTAGGGGCAGAGATTTTACAGTGATAAATATTTAAATATTTTAGAGTGATAAATCATTAAAACAGAAAGCAGACTTAGAAATCAAATGGTCAGTGATTGTCAACCCTAGCTGCAAATTAGAATCAACTTGGGAGTTTTAGAAACATACCAATGAGGGATAAATAGGCAGACCACAGAAGGCTTCTAGGGCATACTTTGTATGGTACTATAATGATACATATCATTATACATTTGTATAAATCCATAGAATGCACAACACCAAACATTACAATGAACTGTAATGTAAACTACAAACTATCAATTAATTATAGGTTTATCAATTACAAGTGTATGTGGGGAATGTTGATAATATGGGGGAGGCTGTGATGTGTGGGGGCAGGAAGCATATGGGAAATCTCTGTACTTTCTGCTCGATTTTGCTGTGAACCTAAAACTGCTCTAAAAAAAAAAAGTCTATTAAAAAACACTTATAAAACTACATAGAAAATACCAATGGCTATACCTCAGGAAGATAAATTAAAATCTTAGGGGTAGAGAAAAGTATCTGTAATAATAATAACAAAAAAAAAAGTCTTATGTGACTCTAATGGATAACAGGGTTAGAAATGACTAAATTACTAATTTAATAATTAGTAATTTCTTGACTTAGATTTAAAAAAAAACTCTGAAGACTTGTAAGGATAAAATTATTTGCCTAAAGTTAAGGGTAATTGGTGGATCATGTGGGTTTATAGTCTAGACCTTCTGACTCCAGTATTCTTTCCATGAGAAGATGAGACATAGCAAAGAATGAAATAGACTACTAGACCACTTCTAATTTGCTTTCAGGGGAGTGTAATCTGCATCACTAGGCTCTGAACTATAGAGAGTAGGATTTAACCCATTCCTTCCCAGGGGATCTAACAATAGATTTATCAATGAAACTGTCTATCTGCCTAATTAAAACATAAGCTTCCTGAGGGCAAGGATAGGATATTGCTCATTTTTGTAGGCAATGGCAAGCCCACATGCAAAGTATCTGCAATGCATATTAAGTTGATGCATATATTAGGAACCAAGAAATGAGAGCAAAAATGCTCAAAAACATAATCAGTATTTTCTTTTGAGTTCTAACATACAATGCCCAGTTACATGACAGAAATAATACATTTTCATAGAAATATTGCTAAAGTCCTTTCATGGGTCAAACTAGTATTATTGCTTGGGACACAATAATAACATTCTAAATTTGTGCCTATAAAGGTAACAAAGTGTCAACCTTGAGTAAAGTTCAGAAAGACCTTAATCAAAGGGAATTTGGGGGCTTTCCAGGAGGGGTCGGGTATTTGGAAGATATGTTTTGCCTAACCTAGGAATATTATCTTTTTAAAATATGTGTCTGAACACTGTGTAGATCACATTCCAGAAAAATGGTCATGTCTTTTTTCTTAAAGGAAATCTTGGAAGAAATCCGAGGTTCAGGGATCAAGAATAAAATGACCAGCAGGCATAGTTCTTTGGTTCAATTATCTTTCAACTAATTATTTTACCTGTCCGTTTCTGGGTCACTATGTTTGGAAAAGCAGTAGCTTTAGGAATTTTTACCTCCATTGTGTTGGTTAGAGTGTCACCAGCTCCATTCTAAAAAGGACATCTGGGGACAAATAACTTATTTATTTTTTGTTTTGCATTTTTACTTTATACATACAAGAACTGGGGTATAGACCAGAGTTGCAGGGTTGTGAGAGGATTCTCCAGAAGCACAATGGGGAGCAGAACAGGCAGATCTACTGAAATGCACTGCTGAGCGGAGCAGCGGGCAAGACAGTAGAGGTCTGCTGCACCATGTTAGCTCCCTGGCTGGGATTAGCTCCCTGGCTGGGGATTGAACTCTTGCTGCAGTTGCTGGTGACAGCTTGATAGTGCTGTGACTTTAATCCCTGCGCCTCCAGGGAGGCCCGACAAATAACTTTTAAAAGTTATTTATTTGTTTTTTTTAATAAATTTTATTTTTATATTCCCCATACACTTGCAACCCCCTTATTTTGACCCCAATCCCTCCCCTCCCTACCCCTCATCCCCCATAGAGTGTCTCTGGTTCATAGTTGTTTGTTGATTTTGATTTTCACTTTCTTATAGTTATTCATTTTCCTGGTCCCTTATTTAAGTTTTCTAGATTCCTGCTATGAGTGAGACCATCCGGTATTTTTCTTTTTCTTTCTGGCTTATTTCGCTGAGCATGATCCCTTCCAGCGCCATCCATGTTGCTGCAAATTGCATGTGTTTATCTTTTTTGAATGCTGAGTAATATTCCATGGTAAAAGTTATTTCTTGTACTATTCTTTGTCTGTACTGTAATAGATACAAATAGCACATTACCTAAATACAAACACACATAATCTAAACTCAGGAAATAACTACAAATGCTAGGAAACCACTCACCTTATTGACAAGGGTATATAAAGCTTTGTCTTGTGCATCATATTTTAGACACTGCCTAATCCAGGTGTGGATAGTCCAGTCTCTTAGGTACCAGCAGTTGGGGCTGTGTCGAAATCTAAGTAGAGAGAGAAAATTGGTGTTAACTCTTAAATGTCAATCCCAAAGTACATTTTCCTTCAGCAGGTCCTTCTCTTAAATATTTACAGATAGGCAGTCAATGTGACCAAGAATCCTGAAAGTGAATGGTCAAAAAAAACTCAGGGATTAGACTCATTCATTAACAAGTCTGAAATGGGAAAGAGAAGTCAACATAGTAAGAATAAATAACAGACAATAATATTATTATTCCTTATCTAACACCTACTAATTCAAAATCTTGGCTCAAGAGATTTATGAATAGTAGTCTTGGGAAAATATCTACTAACCACAACATTGTATAAATACATGGAGGAAGAATGATGTGAAGTTGAAGCTAATATTTTAGAAATTTAAAATAAAACATGGAGCAAAAATGAAAACGAGAACAGCTTATCTGGAGGGAAATCAGTTTTGATTTATGTTGATATTTCTTGTGGCACTTAGGAGAGATGGGGACACTCTTAATTGAACCAAAAGTAAACAAAAAGATGGGGAAAAATGAGCAAAATTGAACATCTAAATCCTATAGGATCCACAACCCCCTGCTTTCTTCATAGCTTCACACTAGTTCCTCTGTATCCTCTTGCTTCCTACAGCTCTCCACACGGTCTTTAAAGGCCTAAACAGCCCCATGCGAGGTGACATAGTTGTATTTCCATAGGAGTGGAACTTGGAAAGGAGCTCTGACTGCTGCTCCTGCCTCAAGTTCATACACATTGATGTGTCAACATCTGGGGTCGGAGCAGCTGCTCCTTGTTCTTGGGGTCCATGCCACAAGACTGAGTGAGAACAGACAAGGGGTCAATGGGGATCCCTTTGTTTATGTTCTGATTGAAATGATCCTCACTTATTATGCCAGCTCAAGTCCCAACTTTTCTTTCACCACTCAGGAAACAGGTCAATCTCCAAGCCCCACAAAAATCAAACTATTTTCTTAAAAAGATAAAGGTAGGATGAAAATTTAGGAATGAAGGGATTTTATGTAGTATTTGGGAGTTGGGGCTACATGCTAATTCTAGTGTTTTTTAGAGGCTGATTATTCAATCTGCACTTGCTATTTCCTGCCATATGTTAGTGGGACAATTTCTTGCTAAACAGGTTCTCTGGCAAAGTAAAAGTGAAGAAAAAGAAAGGAAGCAAAAAGTAGTATTTAATTTAGGCTATTTATTAGTGCTCTGGCTATTTCTTTATTTATTATCTGGCAAAAATAAGGCCTGAAGATGTTTTGTAGTCTTAGTCATCTATTTCTGCCCATTCTTTCATTTTAGGTTTCTCTGGAAAAGGTCTCTTTCATTCTATTTTTCTTTACAGAATTAGCCTTTTTAATTCTGCTTTTAAATGAAGCAGAAAGATTAAAAGTATGTCAAATTATGTTCAGGATGAGAATGGCCTGGCCAGGGAAAAGCATCATCTAGCTACCTGATCATGAGATCTAATGAGATCTTCTGAATAGAAATAAAACAAAATACATCATTTGTTTTCATGTTTCCCCTCACATTTTAAAATCAGCTTATACTCTGCTTATACTCTGAGCTCCTCTGCTTATACTCTGAGCTTTAAAGTGTAATGGCCAATCAAGAGTTAATTCTACTTCTTTTTTTTTTTGTGGGACCCTCGCCCAGTAGCCAGGGATCGAACTGGCACTGCAGAGGCTGCGGGCAGCCTCGCAACCCAGCGCTCAACCGCTGCACCACCAGGGGAGGCCTGAGTTAATTCTACTTCTTAAAGAAAAAAAAAGTGAGTAAAATACTAAGTGAGAGAGATGCTTCCTCATTGGCCTGTATACTCCCTGAGCAAAGTAAGGGCAGTGATGGCTCAATCAATACTGATTCCTCAGCACCTGACATCATTTGGGTCCACAGTAGGTTTTCAGCAAATATAGAAGGAGCTTCAACCAACACATGTACTAAATGTTATTATATACTCATCATTCCGTTAACAGCTAGGGTGTATACAAAGAACAGCAAATTCCCTGTTTGGTGTCATCTCTCATTACATCTCATTACAAAATAAAGTATAAAAACATAGTTTAGGACCTCCCTGGAGGTACAGGGGTTAAAGTCTCAGTGCTATCAAGCTATCACTAGCCATAGCAACATGAGTTGCTGGTCAGAGAGGTAACCCCCATGGCTCAGCAGACCTCTCCTGGGTCACCTGCTGCTCCCCTCAGCAGTGTATTTCAGTCAATCTGCCTGTTCTACTCTGCTGTCTCTAGTGAATCCTCTCCACTCCCCCCCCACACCCTCTAGCTTACACCTCAGTTCTTACATGTATAAGTAAAAATAAATCTTAAAAAATAAAATAAAAACATAGTTTATAAAAGGTGGGAGATGTTTAGTGCTAAAGACACAAAGGGTATTGCTAGATGCTAGAGAGGTTTTGGTTTAATGTATTGGGTTTGGTCCACTTTTCCTTTAAAAACAAAAAATTTTTTAAAAGTCAATTATCCCCTTTGCCTGATAATTTTAAACAGAATCCTCACTTTAAATCTCATCTTCTGCTTCAGAGTGTCTCAAAAGAACACTAAAGGGATGCTTAACTTTCTGATGAATCTTAACACCATATCCATATCCAGCCAAACACCTTTCCCCTTATTAATAACCAGCAGACTGCTTTCTGGCTTTGAAGAATAACATAGACTGATATAACCTAGCCATATTTGTCAATGCTCAAATTAAAATTTATTTAAAGTCATTTGCTTACCTTCTGAGGCTAACTTTAATACATTGAAAATCAGAAAATCCTTATCCTCTCACATCTTTCCCTTCTTACACTTTATTAAAAGCCTAAAAGGGAAAGTTACTCAAGACACCACACATGGAATAGAATGTGAGATTTGTCACCTCTGCATGTGAGATTTGTCAACAGACACATAGGAGTTTTTCTAAGTCCACTCCATCTCCCATGCTGGGATGTGGCTATCTTATTACGACCTTTGCTCTCTAAGACCCAGTAATTCAGATATACAACCATGTCCAGCACATTTTCAACTAAGTGACATTAAATTAATTTAGGAATAAGAGGAAAACTCACATATATTATGAAATATGCTGCCACAGTGCAATACCTGAATTTCCCAGCCAGGCAGCAGATGAAGTTCTCTCTAAGGTTACATCCATCAGTGTTGGGAAAAAAAAGAAATTAGCACACACACAAAAGTTAGCATACAACCTATGTGAGCAGCTATCTAGAATATAAACAACTCACAGCATTGAGATAGTAGGTGCCATCTTTGGATGATAAGTTTGAAAATTCCTCTGTCAATGACTTTTGAAACAGTTCACACAGATAAACTTAGGCCCTTTTCAAAACTGCCAGTGGGACTAGGACAGGCAGATAAGTCTTTGCCTGGAACTATTCTGCAGATTTGCTGGATGAACATTCTCCCTTTTAGTCAAGAGAAAGGCAAAGAGTCAAGAACACGATGCAATGATTTTCCAATTTGCCTGAAAACAGATTGGCTTTTGTTTTTGCCTGCTCTGCCCAACCTGGCAGATTACAGGCAGCCAGTGTAGGAATCCCCTGAGTGTGTTTTACCATCAGCTGTTTGCTCACCTCAACAGAAGCATTATTGTCCAGGCTAGCAGGCTGATGGTGGTATGGAAAAGATAAACAAATGCAACCCAAATAATCCCAACAATGTTTGCACTCATGAAGGCAAGGGACACGCTGAGCTTCTAGCTTATGAAATACAAGCACATTTACAACAGTTCTAACAACATGCACATTTCTCAAAGGAGAAGGAGTGAAATGTACTTTAAGGCTCTGGATTTTGTTCTAAAAGTTAGTAACCCAAGACTGATGAAATCTCTATCCTCAGTGCTAAGGAGGGTTTCCATGGGGGTAGTTGCCCCAAAGTACCACACAGACTTGCCGTGGGAACCAAAATTATAGCCAGTCAAATGGCAACAACTTACAAGTTTCCTCTTTTCAAAATCAGGCTATGTTCAGGACTTTTCAGGACATTTGCCTGGACTATTCCTCATTGGAAGGAGAGCAGAATCACAGGTTGAGAAACTGACATGAGGGCAAAACCGATATGGGGGCAAAAGTCTTTGATATCATAACAGATTTTTTAGAAGGAAAGAGAGGTTACACCAAAGAAGTCAAGAATGAAAAGAAAAACATCACAGATTTCCTATGATTATATAGAAGGTACTTTATACTATGTGTAAAAACGTGACATGGGATTTCCTATTTGTGACCAATTTCATTCAAAAAGTATGACACAGTCTTTATTCCAGGGGATTCAAATGAAGATTCTTGTTGAATGGCCAAAGTGGAAATGCTCATCAGCTCTTTGAGTATCACAAATGAAAGCACTCCCGCCTGAGCAGAGCTAATGCACAGATGCCAGAGCCTGGAGTTCAGCAGCATTGCCAGTTAGATGCAGCACTGGCTCTTCCATATGAATGAGCCAGCTTTCCACAACGTTTATCTGATTATGAGAGCCACCAACCTTGAACATACACATGAAGATTTCCCTCCTCCCTAGTGTATTCTGTATCCAGTGGCAACAGGCTTTACAGATGGAAACTAAAGCCCCTGGGCTGGGCAGACATGGAGATGAGCAAGGGGCCCAGGGTAAAAGAAGGGGAGAAGAATGCCAAGAAGAGAATATAGTTGGCGTCAAAGCACAGTGTGGACTGGGTTTCTTATCCATGGAAGAAAGCCTGTAATTACTAGAAGGTTTGAGCACTTCCTTGAACTAGAACCAAAGAACAAGAGGGTGTTAAACTATTTAACTCCTTAAACCAGCATTCGATTCAATCACTTCTATCCACTTTCTTATTTTATTCTCATAAAGGAAAAATTTTCTTCTGCATCTTGCTGGAAATTTTGCTTTCATCAATGATTAGTTGCCCCAAACTACCACAAAAAAAATCAAATTTTTATGATAATTTTTTATGACTATTACATTTTTGCTAAGTGTTAAAAATAGGGACAGAATCTATATCAGAATTGAAGATAAAGACA